AGGTGAAGGTGATCTCGGTGCTGGAGGACAACTACATGTACCTGGTGATCGAGGAGAGCACCCGCGACGCCGTCGCCGTGGACGCCGCGGTCCCCAAAAGGGTGAGAGGCGGTCGGACCCCCCCGTTCCCCCCGGGTGGGCTGCGGGTCCCACGCGGGGGCTGTGCCCGTGGGACAGCGGGGTGTATCCACGGGCATCCCACCGGCGGGACCGGCCCCTTCTATCCCTGGTGGAATGTGGGGGGTGCCGGACCCCTCTCCCACCCACCCCTGGGCTGCGGGGGGATTCCGTGTTGCCTTGACCGTGCGGAGTCTTACAGACCCCGCAGCGAGTGAGAATAAGCCGGAATAAACCTTTGGAGCGGTTCTCCCGTGCCCAGTCCCGCGTCCCAGGAGCTGCGGGGAGGGCAGTGCCCGGGGTCGCCGTGACCCCCCGTGCCCCCGCCCGGGCTGTTGCGCATCGTGCAAAGGCTGTCGCGGTTTTTAAGCGTTTGGTGCTGACTCGGACGTTTCCTTCCTCTCTGAGGAGCGTAATCGGGAGCTGCCGGAGGGCTTGTTCCTGGCCCTGAATGTTAAGTTGGCATTAGGAGCCTGCTGGCAGCTGGGCCGGGCCTGGCAGCCCCACGTGGCCGCTCGCCCGGCCAGGGTGGGTTGCGAGGCCACCATTTCCCTGCACGGCTCCTCTGTGGTGTCGCCGGCCATAAAATGCCACAGCTCCCATGGGAGCAGCGTGTTCTCATCCCCCTGCTCTGCTCTGGGTCGAGCCTTCATCCCACCCCTCAGCCCACGGATGCTCAGCAGATGGTTTGGGTGATTCCCGTGCCCTGGTCAGCCGGGTCCCTCACCCACGGAGTGGTGCCACAGGGGACAGGTCCTACAGTGGCTGTCCCAGCCATGGGTGGGTCACCCCCCTTGCCCGCTCATGTCCCGCTGCACTGGGTCCCTTTCAGCTGCTGGAGATCATCAGGAAGGAGGACGTGGTGCTCAGGGCCATCCTCACCACCCACCACCACTGGTAAGTGCAGCCCGGTCGGGGTGGCCGTGGCCTTTCCCGTTCCCTTTCCTGAGTGCCCATTCTGCTGGCACAGGGACCACGCGAGGGGCAACGAGGAGCTGGCACGGCTGTGCCCGGGGCTGAGGGTGTTCGGGGCCGACCAGCGCATCGGGGCCCTCACGGACACGGTGACACACGGCCAGGAGCTCACGGTGCGTGGCCACGGGACCACGGGAGCACCCAGGGCTGGGACCCCACACACGGGTCCTGCCTGGTGGGGCGGCTGGGGCTGGCACGGTGTGGTGGGGCTGGAGAGGGGCGATGGCAGGACCCCCTGTGGGGTGGCACTGTGATCCCCTGTGGGGTGGCACCGTGCTGGGGGCTGGGTTGGTGCTGCTGGGCTGTGCTCAGCTCCCTGTGCTCTGGGGTGTTTGCAGATGTGGCACCATGGATTTGAGGCTGGGATGGGAGGGAAATCTCCTCCCCGTTCCCAGCCCATTTAGGGTTGTTCTGGAGGATCCAACCCTCTCCTGGGGTTCTGCTGCTCAATGCCATGGTCCAGGCATGTGCCACCTGGGCCTTATCCAGACCACCACTGTCACCTCTGTGACCCGCTGAGCCCGGGTGGGTGATGCCAAGGGGTGTGGGGGGCATCTGTCCCCTCAGTGGGATCCTGACCCTCTCTCCCCACAGTTCGGGGCCATCCGGGTGAGGTGCCTCTTCACCCCCTGCCACACCTCAGGCCACATGTGCTACTTCATGTGGGAGGACGATTCCCCGGATGCTCCCGCCCTCTTCTCAGGTATCCCACCCTGCCCACGTGCCCCCCGTGGGTCCCGGGGACACGGGACATGCTCCCCGTGTGCTCCTGTCCCCCCACACCCGGCAGTCCCAAGGTGAATCCGCAGTGTGGGGGCACCCCTGGCACCCACCCCTGGGCACGGGTCTGGGGGCCCCTCCGTGCCCAGAGCCCTTTCCCTCAGGTGACACCCTGTTCGTGGGAGGCTGTGGGCAGTTCTTCGAGGGCACAGCGGAGCAGATGTACACGAACCTCACCCAGATCCTGGGGGCTCTGCCCAAGGACACGGTGAGTCCCACAGCACCCACCCCTGGGAGGGACCCTGCAGTCAGGAGGGGGCTGGAGGCTGGCACAGCCTGTCCCGTGGTGGGGACGGGTTGGATCCAGCCCTTGGAGCAGGTCTGATGCCGGGTCCTTCCCGCTGGATCCACAGAAGGTGTTCTGTGGCCACGAATGCACCGTCCGGAACCTCAAATTCGCCCTGAAAGTGGAGCCAGAGAATGAAATGGTGAAGGAGAAACTCGCCTGGGCCAAGGTAAGTGGCTGTGCCCCCCGGGGTGGGGCCCAGGGGCGTTGGATGCCAGCGGGATCCTGGATGTCTCTGGTCCCTCGGCAGCAGCGGGATGACGAGGACCTGCCCACGGTGCCCTCGACACTGCAGGAGGAGTTTCTCTACAACCCCTTCCTGAGGGTCATGTAAGCAGTGCCAGTGCCTGGGGGGGCGAAGGGCCCCCAAAATCCACTCCCCTTTTCCCTCCAGCAACATCCCCTCTCCCAGTAGCTTCGCTGACCAGTGGGAATCCCAAGCCCTGAGGGAGGGGAGGGTGTCGGGCCATGGGGTCCCACCTGCCCAGCACAAGGTCCGTGTGCCCCAGCAGTGCCCGGCACCGGGATGGGACTCCCCAGCACCAGGATGGGACTCTGTGGTGTCCATGCCAGTGGAGAGGGGGCAGGGGTCCTGTCCTGCCCCCCGTGGCACAGCAGAGCTGCTCTCCCCACAGGGAGGAGCCCGTGCAGAGGTTCACGGGCCAGACGGACCCTGTGGAGGTGCTGAGGAGGCTCCGCACCGAGAGGGACAACTTCAAGAAGCCCAAGGAGAGGCCCAACCCCCCGGCCATGCTGGCCTTCGACTGGGGGCTCTTCAGCCCCTTCCTGGAGAAGCAGTGACGTCCCCGCCGTGCCGGGGGTCCCTCCTGGCTGTGCCCAGCCTGGACTCTCTCCCAGTTGGGAACTGGTGTTTGTCCTTAACCTGCTCGTCCGAGGCCGCTCCGCTCTGCTCTGCTCTCCCTCCGGCTCCGTGTCCAGCTCCCGGGGCAGTCCCAGGGGAGCAGGAGCACGTGGGTGCCTTGGGAGAGCCCAGGCTGTGGTGACCCCCCTGCGCTGGGGCTGCTGCTGGCAGAGGGCCTGGAGATGTTTTTGGAGACGGGAGATTCCCACTCTCCCAGTGCTGGGATCAGGGTGGGAGCTGCTGCCTGTCCCACAGCCCCATTCCCACGGAAGGGAGCTAAGGAAAAGCACGGAAAAGGGGGGATGCTCAGGGACTGTGGTGCTGTAACCCACCAGGCTGTCAGGCTCTCCTGCCTGTCCTCCTGCCAGGCCTGGGGGCTGCACCCCATTCCCAGGGGATTGTCTGAAGCAGCCACGTGGCTCCGGAGCCCCTGGGCCCCTCCCAGGCCCGGGATGGGCAGGGATGAGGCACGGACACTTGGAGACCCAAGGGAAGCTGGGCAGTGACTGGTGTCACTGGTGTCTGTGGTACCCACCCAGCTCCACCCTGCACTGACAGACACCCTCAGCACAGCGGGGTTTTGGTGGGGTTTTCCCGTTTTTCCCTATTTTTCTAGTGGATAACACTGTGTAGGGCTCTGTAACAGTCGCTGCCTTCAGGAGCCATTGGAACCCCTCAGCCCACGTGGGATGTGCTCAGTGGAGCCCAGGAATGCCCCAACCCACTGGCTTTGGGAGATGCTTTCCAAGGTGTGACAGATTTTAGGCTGCCACACATCCATTGCTTTTTTCTTCCAAGATAAAAACTGGAAAACACTTGGCTGCAACCACACGGACATTGCCTTGCCTTCACACCAGGGGCCAGGGGCCAGCCCTCAGGCCTCCTCAGCCTCCCTTTGTGCAACATCAGGGCTGTATTTGAGCTTTTTTTTAGCTCTGAGAAATGTGGAGAGTTTTATTTGCAGCTGGGGGGAGGCACATTGGACTAGTAAAGCAATTTTTGTGGAGAAAATTGGGCTTTGATGGCAGCTCCCAGGCTGGAATAGAGTTGATTTCAGGGTCTTTCATGTGTGGACTGTGAACTGGAGTTTGGGTTGTGGCTGTTCCTTCCCTGGCTGCAAACTAGGCTGAGGTTTTCTTTTTTGCCTTTTATTAATAGTTTAGATTTACTCTCCCTCGTGGGAGGGGAAGGATTAACCTGCTGCTCGAGCTGCCTCGGTACTGCTGCCTCAGAGTTCCTCAGTTCACAGGGAATGGTGGAGTTGTAGATGTACCTGGGTGTTCCTTGGGAATTTGGTTTGTCCTGGGAGCAGGGATGCACCCATGTGTGCTCAGGGAGGGTCTGAGCTGTCCCTGAGCTCACAGGGCCACAGCTCCAGGGCTGGGAGAAATTCCAGCTGCTCTTGGTGCCATGGCAGGAACACCCCCCTGGAACACCCCCCTGGAACACCCAGGAACAAGAATCTGGGGGGTGTTCTGGGTGACTTTCGTGATCCGTGTGTTGGCAACCCAGGAACTGGAGAGGAGACAAAGTGTAGAGCCCTGATTACTTAATTTACAGCTAATTGAGCTTAATTTATTGTGCATTTCTGGCCTGACGTGCATGTGCTCAGCAGACACAGTTTCCTCTGCACTCCCAGCACTCCAGGCTGGCTCTGTGGGAGCACTGGCACCTCTCCCTGGCCATGGAATTTTATGGTTTAGCCAAACCCTGGGTGTTATGAATCCCTGAAACCACCACCTTGCTCGTCAGGAGGGTGGGGAGGGGGAGGCAGTGGGGGATTCTTGCCTTAGAACACTGTGAACTCACGGACTGATCAACACCTGAAAAATGTAAAGCTTTTAATTAAAACCATTAAAAATGTAATTTCCACTGTTGTTTTGCTTTGAACAAGCAGCAGAGGAGGCTCTGAGGAGACACAGGCAGGTGAAGGTGTGGCAGCTTTGGTTCCTGCCAGCCCCAAGGTCAAGGTAACTGAGGGAGGGTCAGTGCTGATTTTGGGAGGAATTTCCTCATGGAAAGGGTTTGGACTCAGGGAGGTTTGGAGTCCCCATCCCTGGAGGTGTCCCAGGAAGGCCTGGCCGTGGCACTCAGTGCTCTGAGCTGGGGGACAAGGTGGGCATCGGGCACAGGGGGATCCATGGGCTGGAAGGGCTTTTCCAACTTTAATGATTCTGGAATTCTGTGCCCAGGGTATGGACACAGGGCAGCCTGGGCTGGACACAGAGAGACATGCAATTGCCCACAGTACAGATAATTATTATAACTAAAGGAAATCCCAGGGGTTTTCTTCAACATTCATTCCAGACCCATTCCAGCAGGAACCAAAGCAGCTCCAGAGCTGCTCCCAGGCTGCTGGAACCCTCCTGAGGGCACAGAACCTGCAGCTGCCCCCAGGGGCAGTGAAATGGAGAACCCCAAGGTTTAATTAGACCATTTCTAATTAAATGAGGATGTTCCAGCAGAGGCAGCCATAAAAGTGGATAAACTGATCCCAGAGAGGCCAAATCCTGCCCTGAGCCAGATCCCTTGGCACCTTAAATTCATCACTTCTGGTGGGAATAGGCTGGCAAAGGGAGGGCAGATTCAGCCCATAGAGACTGTGCAGAGGCTGGGATGCATTTCTGCTTCTTTAAACACTTGTTTTAAGTTAGTGTTTGGTTTTTATTTACATCTCTCCAATAGTTATTAAGCTGAAGGAATTATTAGTGCCGGGCTCTACGACCATTCCCATCTTCTCCTTTCCAGAGGCAGGAATTCCATAGAACTTCAGCTGTCCTTTGAGAATCATAAATAGAGCTGGGTTACAAAGGCACTGAGGATGTGTCTCTGGGCTTGTCAGCATTCACCACTTGATGTTGAAGCTCGTGTTTGCTTTCTCCACGGGGTGATATTCCGTGTGCAGCGTTCCCACAGCCTTCTCTGAGTCCCTGCCTCCCAGCCAGTGCTCGTACAGCTCAGCCACAGCCTGGTTCTCCTCTGGAATCTCAGCCTTTGGAGACTCATACAACCTCTCCACGTGCTGCAGCTCGTCCTTGGATCCCCCCTCCAGCTTGATCTGCCCTCCTCCGTTCAAACAACCTGCGGCAACAACAGAGAAAACCCAGTGGAGAAGGAACTTGAGCTTCAGCAGGAAAAACACAATGGAAAAACTACAGTTACTCTGCACCTGCAAACACTTGCAGAACTGAAAACACCCTCAGAATGGAGGTTTACTCCCAGTTATCTCCCCGCAGCAGGGCCACAGGGCAGGGAGATCCTGGCTGTGCCTGTGGCCAGCTGGGAATGTGCCAGGAGCTCCAGCCCTTATCTCCCACCTCCAGAAGAGGGTCAGAGCACACTCCAGGTGAATCCAGGCTTGGAGCCACAACTGAGGGCAAAGGAAATGTGCCTGGGATGTGTTCTGGGGTGCTGGGAGCTGAGCTCTGCAGTGAGAGGTTGCCCAGAGCAGTGTCAGGCGCTGGAGCTGTGCAGACCCTCGGGAGGGAGCAGTGGCTTCCAAGTGCCAAAAGTGGCCCCTCAGCATCAGCCCAGGCTGGGATCAAGCTGCCCCTGCTCCCTGCTGGCTGATTCCAAGAGAACCAGGAGGGAGGGAAAGGAAACTAAGTGGAAAACGGAATAAAATAGGTAGGAAGAGACTTTCCTCACCGGCAACGTTTTCTAAAAGTGTAATGGCCAGTTTTGTGCAATTTTAGGGGAAAAATCCCCTCAGGTAACAAAGAGCTCAGAAAATCAGGAAACCCTCCTTAAAAGCACTAAGTGTGCAAATTTTGTGTGATGGAATTTAACAGCAGTTCCTTAAATCCCGAGGCATTACTGGCTTAGAAGCAGGAAAATCCACAGCCAGCCCTGAGACTGTGATGCTGGGACTGTCACACCTCCAGAGGTCACGGCTGTGCCACAACACTCAGCATGTGAAATCACCTATTGTCTTGTATTTAAGCTTAATTTCATAGAGCATGTCCCAGCTCTGGATTTGCAGCAGCCCCACCTGAGGGACAGGCCATGACCTCCACGTAGTGATATGGAGACTTCCCCCGTTTCAGCTTCTGCACCAGGTTCTGGATGTTCCGAAATCCGTAAGCCAGAGCAAACTGGAGCAGGACTTCTCCATCCCTCTGCAGAGTCACCTCCTGGAAGTCCTTGTTTCTGAGCAACCAGAGCAGAGGAAATGTCTTACCCAAATGAACTTCTATTTTAAACTTCAAAGGGCCCTGAGCTAAACCCAAGTTCTCTGTGAATCTTATTTGAGAGCTGTCCTAGTTCTTTGCCATCCAAATAAAATATGAAGGAACTACTTCCAGATCTTTCTCCAGGCTCATTTGAGGAGCTGCCACCTGAGCAGAGTTTGCTGAAGGACACCTGTGCTGAATAAATCCTTAAAAGCTCAGCAAATGGAGCCTTTCACTGTGACAGACCTGAAGCCACTGAGGGAATTTTTAACTTGCAATGGGCCATAAAACCAGGGAGCAAACCAAGATTGAAGGATTCCAGACTCCAAAGGTTAGTGGGAATACTTGTTCCTGATAAAAAATGTAAGTAATTTGGTTTTTATCACGTATTTCATATCAGGACTGTTTCTTCTGCTTCCTGGACCAGGGAATGCTAAACATAAATGTTGTTCATCGGGGATATAATTAATTGCAAATGATACATTAAGTTATAGCTGGGAAGGTAGAAGGAATCTCAGGTGAATGAGCCTCAATGCCCAAACTCATGTGACTTGTTTATAGTTTAAACAGAGCCCTAAAGCCCTCACACAAGGTTTTTTTCTGTGATCAATAATTAGTGATAAATCTACTTTATTGGTGTGATCAAAGGTGAGGAAGCCGAGATCCATGGGAGCTCTGCCTTCTAAATTATTCTAAAAATTGCCTCCAACTTGACACTGGGAAAATGCACCAGGCCAAACTAAAGTGTGTGGGTGGAGAAGGGGCTGGAAATCTCCAGGGGAAAGGCAGCCCAGAGTGGCTGATTTATTGCTCAGCAACTGGGGGAGTGAGGAGCCAACTCTCAAGCCTGGAAGTAAAATGTTGAACATTGCAAAGAAAATCTCAGCCCATTAGCAAGATAACAGCATGGAGAGAATTCCAAAAAAACAGTGCTTTCTGCAGGATTTCCAGCTTCTTACTTTAGAGGTTTGTACTCAATGGCATCCACGTGAATCCCAAAGAGCTCCTTGGCTGCATGTCTGTAAATGTGCTCCAGGTATCCCCCTGAGCCCCCTCCAGGGTGGGTGCTGAGCTCCTCTGCTGCACTGCTGAGCCTGGGGAGGGAGAGAGTGGCACCTTTAGGGGGATCTTTGGTCAAACAAACAGACAACACGAACACAGAGGGCCAGGGGACTGAGGAACAGCAGAAGAAGCCACAAACCAGCTCCCTTTGAGCTCCAGCTTTTCCCTTTCTCTGGGAACCAATTTATAGCCCCAGAGACCACCAGGTTTGACCCTGTGCTGCTCACTGGGAATAGTGTCCAAGGCCAGGCTGGACAGGGCTTGGAGCAACCTGGGCTAGTGGAAGGTGTCCCTGCCCATGGCAGGGGGTGGCACTGGATGAGCTTTAAGGTCCTTCCAACCCAAACCATCCCAGGGTTCCAGCAGTGCCAGGACTTTTGCTCCCTCCATGGCTGTTTCAGCAGGATCCTGGTTCAAGTTCACCACGTTTTTTGTGTTGAACAACTCTGTTGCCACCAGTCCTGGAACTCCAGCTCTGCACAGCCAATCCCATCTCCCTGCCAGGCCAGAACTCCACCAGCTCTGCAGAATCATGGCAGTGTTCCTCAGGAACAGCTCCACACAGGGAAGCCACAACAATAGCTTTTGTTAGGAGAGGAGAAGGAGCTGAGGGATCTCTCTGCAGCCCTGCTCAGGCAGTGACACTTGGATTCTCCCACTGACAGCTGTGGAGGGGAAAACACTTGAACTGGGGCCAAAGTTTCAAGTCCAATGGAAGCTGTTGCCTCTGGCAGATAAAATCTTTGCTGTGGAAGAGCTGCTGAAGCCCCAGCTGAGGCTGCAGGAACTATTTTTAATTTGCTGTTGTTTACAGGAACTGAGCCCCATCCCACCCCCTGTGTGTCTGCCCTCACGTACAGCTCCTCTCCCCAGAAGGAGCTGCCAGGAAGCTCCGGCGCTGGCCCGGAGCAAACGGTTATCCCAGCAAAACTCCTGGGATTTCTGGCACTTCAGCCCATCCTTGCTGCCAAATGTAATAACCTTAATGGGCTTTTGCACGTGCTGGGGGATAAAGCAGAACAACAGGCCTTGGGCTGCTTGTGGGCAGGCTCCAGTTCCCAAGGAATACGTGCTGTTTGGAGCCAGACAATCCCCGAGGACGTGGGAGCCCTGGGAGGCTGTGGAGGCACTTGCTCATCCCCAGCACGAGGCCTGGTGCTCACAATGTTCTCCTGAGCAGCTGCCCAGAGATCTTTATCAGGTAATTAGATGTTCAGTTCCCTGTTATAACTGACACTTCCAGATGGTCATTCCCTAAGGGAAGGCAAACCCTTGAGGATCGTTTTTTCCCCTCGGTTTTCTGCTCGTGGTGTAACAAAAAGCAGGTGGAAGACAAGGGTGTGTTGACATGGGCAATGTCTGAAGTTGTGCTTTTGGGACTCCAGTGTCTGAAGGGGCTACAAGGAAGGTGGGGAGGGACCCTCATCAGGAATTGGAGTGACAGGACAAGGGGAATGGCTTCCCACTGCAGAGGGCAGGGTTAGGTGGGACACTGGAGAGAAACCCTTCCCTGTGAGGGTGGGCAGGCCCTGGCACAGGGTGCCCAGAGAAGTTGTGGCTGCTCCTGGATCCCTGGAAGTGTCCAAGGCCAGGTTGGACAGGGCTTGGAGCAACCTGGGCTAGTGGAGGGTGTCCCTGCCCATGGCAGGGGTTGGAATGAGATGAGCTTCAAGGTCCCTTCCAACCCAAACCATTCCAGGATTGTGATTCTACACTTAACCACCTCCTATAATTCTGAAAGGTGCTGCAAGTGTCATTCTCTGTTCATTAATGTGCAAAGAGCTGGGGAGACATCTCTTTTACCCTGGAGAAAAGGCAGCTGGGGGTCTGTGCTCAGTGCAGACCCACCCCTGATGGCAGCTCAGGGTTTGCAGTCACCCAGCTCTGGGCAGTTGTCACTCAACCACATGTTGCTCTTCAGTTTGAAACAACTTCATTCTCATCTGGTTTATATCTCATTTTTCTTTACAAATAGGCTTCTAGAGATGAGCTGTGGGGCCTTAAATATTTCTTCTTTATGCTTTAACTCTGGGATCCTTGCAGTAGCTCTGACAATTAGGAACAAAGGGCAGTACCAGCTTTGTTTCACTGACACTGAGCCAGATTCTTTCCCTTTTCAAGGCTTGCAGGGAGGTTTTTGTGGGATTGCACCAGCAACCTGTGAGTAACAGGAGCTGGAGTAAGTGAATCCAGTGGGAATTCATCCTATTCTGGACATTATTTTAACTCCCAATTGTGCTGGTTCAAGTGACACAAGAAGACAAAGCAAACCCACACACACTGGGTAGAACAGTGGTGGAAAGGGGAATCCAGTGAAGAACTCTGTCAACACTGGATGACAGAGAACAGGACTGGGATGAGATTTTTTTTCTTACATGGTATCCAAGGGACCAGGATCTACATCTGAGAGAGATACTCCTTCTTGTTCCAACAGCTTTAGCACTTCTCCTAAAACAGAACCAGCCAGAAACAGTTCTTATTTTGGGGATAAAGGAAAACAGACCAGTACCTAAGGCTGCATCTACATTTTTAGCAGGGCATGATTTGCACTATTAAAGTGCAAATATACATCAATATTCATCCCCCACAGCCTCTATCAGAGACAAAGGGTCAGTAAAACCAGGAAACCCTTGGCTCTGAGGCTTCCAGAATGAGTTGACTCCCTGTGGCTCTTACCTGTGGTGATCACACAGTCCACATCCCTGGTTTGGTACTGCTGGTTGAAAAAGTCTGGCCTGGAGGCCTCGAGCTTTTTGTCATAACAGGGCATCACTGTGACATGGTAAATCTGGTCAGGGGTCAGGTGCTGCAAGAAAGACAGAGCTGGGCAGTTGGATCAGCCAAAATCCCACCTGTCCTGAGGGAGGTGTTTTCCAGGTACAAATGGGAATGGTGAAATTAATGCCACCAAGCCCCTGGAAATAACCCCCATTCTTACTGAATAGTTATGTATATTTATTTATATATACATTAAATTATTTCTCTCCTAGAAGCCAATTTCAGTTTGTGGCAAGTGTCAGCAGTTTGGTCCTTTACAGGTTTCATGGAATCCTGGAAAGGTTTGGGTTGGAAGGGACCTTAAAGCTCATCCAGTCTCACCCCCTGCCAGGGGCAGGGACACCTTCCACTATTCCAGGTTGCTCCAAGCCCTGTCCAACCTGGCCTTGGACACTTCCAGGGATGGGGCAGCCACAGCTTCTCTGGGCAACCTGTGCCAGGGCCTCAAGACCCCCCCAGGGAAGGATTTCTCTCCAATATCCCATCTAACCCTGCCCTCTGGCAGTGGGAAGCCATTCCCTGTGTCCTGTCCCTCCTTGTAAATAGTCTGGGTCCATCTTTCCTGTCAGCTCCCTTCAGGCACTGGAAGCTTCCCCCCCATCCTAGTGCAGATGGTCCCAAGTCAGGCAGAGAGGTGAATCCCTGATGAAGCACTTAGGGAATATGTTTCTTCCATGCTCTTAAAACTCAGCCCCTGATCAGCAGCTGGAACATGATCTGGAGTCAGACAAAAACCTCAGGATCATCCAAGAACTAAACACAGGCCGAGGAAACAAGTCATTGACTCCAGGCCATTGTTTGAGTCCCTTGTGCCAAATATTCTCAGTAGCTGCCAATTTTTGTAACAAATATGCAATGTCAGCACCTCCTTAATGCAAGTGTTAAACCACTGCTCGTTAGAGGACAATTAATCACAGAGCCAGAAGTGGTGCTTAAGTTCCTTACAGGACAGATCTGGGCTATTTGCATAACTCCAGGCTGTGAACATCAAACTCACTCTTGGAAGGATTCCAGAGGTTACAGACTGAGGACAGAACTAAGTCCAGCTGCAACAGAACATCAAGTTGGGAATGAGGGAGTTGTTTTCAGACAAGACATGATCTGCACGTAAGCACTGACTGAGGCCTTGGCTGAGGGGAGCTGATGTGAAGTTACTCCCCAGCATGAAAAACCAGACCCAGACCAGATGGGAGCAGAAAGACACCGATAAAGAAGCTTCCCCAGCCTTCCCAAATAACACTCAGAGGTTTTAATTAGCCCCTGCAGCACGTGCTTAGTGTTGTGCCCTAGTTATGAACTTCTCATTAGATAAAACAGAAGTGAGGAAGATTCTGGCTTTGTAACCTTCTGCAGGGTAATTTTTACCTTTAAACGTGGATAACGTAGCAAAAGAGAGAAAAAAAAATCAGCCTAAAGTGTTCATTTTAGGTGGTTTTCCATCAGGAATAGCATGTTTAGACCCTTACCTGCTGTTCTGCAAAATAGCCCTTGACCAAGGAGCCCATGACCTGCTGGGGAGACTTGGTGGTGCTGATGTAGGGGATGATGAAGCTGCCGTGGGTCTTCTCTGCGTAGCAGATCCAACCTGGAGGGAATGGAATTAGCAAACTAAACTTAAAAACAACAAGCAGGCCTTTACCTTGCCCATTCTCCCCCCAGCCTCAGGCTTAGGACTCATTAATAACCATTCTGAGCTTCACTCCAGCACAGAAAGCAAAGGATTCTCTGAGATCCTCGAGCAGCTGGGTCACCCCTGCTGTTAACACCAAGCTCTCTTTGTACTGAAGAGAGCAACCCTCCAGGTAAATGCAGCCATTTAAACCTTTCTGCCCAGCTTTGGGATTCTTAGTGCCAGTTCTAACTCCCTGCATACCTGGGCAGGCAGAGGCCAGCATTGGCAGAGCCTTTCTGTCCTCGGTTTGCCTGCGGAAGCGTCTCACGAACTCCCGCTGGCTCTCCAACAGGCTGAAGTTTCTGGAGAAAGTCGTGTCAAAAACATAGTGCACACCTAGGCAGGACAGCATCTGTGTTAAAATCCACAGCAGAGATGCAGCAAACTGCAGCAAAAAGCCTCCAGTTAAGCCAGATTCCAACTTGTTTACAGGCACCAACCCCTGCAGTTGAGAGGGAGCCTTTTTCCCCAACACACCAGCACAGAAGAGGAGCAAAAGTGACAGGAGAGCTGTAAATCTAAAATGGTAAGTTCCTGTAAATGTTCCTTACCAGGTTTCATAGAATCATGGAATGGTTTGGGTCAGAAGGGACCTTAGAGGTCAGTTAATCCACCCCCTGCCACGGGCAGGGACACCTTCCACTAGCCCAGGTTGCTCCAAGCCCCGTCCAACCTGGCCTTGGACACTTCCAGGGATCCAGGGGCAGCCACAGCTTCTCTGGGCAACCTGTGCCAGGGCCTCCCCACCCTCCCAGGGAACAATTTCTTCCCCACATCCCATCTAACCCTGTCCTCTGGCAGTTTAAATCCATTCCCCCTTGTCCTGGCACTATCTGCCCCTATAAAAAGTCCCTCCAAGTTTATTCTGTGACTGAAGTTGGGGACAGTTTGGGGGTTAAATCCCCTCAACCCTGTGCTCTCAAACAGGCCTGTTTCCCAGCCACCCCACAGCCCCTCTGGGATAACACAACAATCCCACACTTGCCTAAACTCTTCAGGAATGTTGTCAGCTTCTTGGCTGTTTCCAGAACACCCATTTTACACTTTGCAGCCAGGGAAGCTCTGGATTGAGGGGAAACAGAGACCACCACCAATTTCTGTTCATTGGGAGCAGCAGCCTTGGATAAAACCAAACAGAACCACTGTCAGACAACATGGCACAGGCACAATTCCAGCACTGGAGCATCAGAAAGTACCTCACACATTAACTCTTCAGTCAGGAACTCACACAGAGCCCTTGAGAACTTTTTAAAAATGGGAACAACCCACGAGGGTGCACTAAAAACACTAAAAACACCCTCAGGGCTCTGAAAGTCCATTTTGCTGTGTGGTTTTCCCCCCCTGTTTGTGCAGATGCCACAACCTGTGGCCCACCTTGTTGCCAGCCAGCACTTTGCAGAGCTCCTCGTGGCTCTGCTGGGTGATGAGGACACTCTCTGCCGAGGTGATGCAGCCACTGCAGGCCAGGCAGTCATTCAGGGTGATTTTGGCCTTTTCCAGCTTCTGTGCTCCCCCATCCTACAAGGAAAGAGGGCACACTCAGCTCTGGGCTCAGGAGCTGCTTTGCCACCTTCACCACAAACAGGACCAGAGATGTTGCTCTTTTCCTGCTCTTGGTTCATCATTAGAGAAAGGAGATTTGGTTTCAGTCAGATGGGGTGGAAAGCACCTGAACTTGCTGGTTTTAATAGGACTGTTTGGCACAGAGATGGAAAGATTCCTCCCAGGCAGTGTGTGGTTGTCACTGGAAGGAAGCAGTTGTCATGATATCTGACCTGAATAAGTTGGTTTTCCCCTGAGAGTCTCCTCTAGTTATCACTCCTGGATAAAGTCAGGAACAGGCAGAGCAATTAGGTGCTACTAAAACTATAAAATAAGAAACCAGACCCCTCTGGAAGTGCTGTATCCTCCTTTCTTTAGGTCAAAAGGTCACTATCTGCATAAAATTAAAAGTATCATTCCCAGATGAATTCCCAGCTTGGTTAACTAAGTAATGCCAAAATTTTCTGTGGAAACAGGGAAACTGTTCTGCAAAACTCAATGGGAATTTTGGAAGGAGACTTATGAATTCAGCAGGATGTTTGAGAAATAATTTGAAATATTATCATAAAAAACAGAGCAAGATTTACTAAAAATATCCAATTGAATCTCATTATGAGTGAGCACAAAAGGCATTGTCCCAAATAACCTGGAATTGCTGATCCTTAAGGACTGATGCAAAATAAATTTCTCAGCTTTACTGCTCTAACATTGAAAATCACTGATTAATGTCAGTGTTTTAGAGCATAAAACTGACATAAAATTGGAATTACTGCTTATAAAATCACCGCTTATAAGTTAATTTCTAAATTAAAATGCTCACAAATTAAAATCTAATAAATTGCTAATTGATAAAATGAAAATCATCACTGATTAATGTCAGTGTTTCAGGGCACAAAACTGACACAAAATTGAAATTACTGCTTAGAAATTAAAAAGTCAGACTTTGGGAAAAAAAAGTACAAGAATGCTGCCAGCAGCAGCAACACTTTTCTATCATCTTGGTTCTCTTTGAGGCATTAACTGTTCAAATAGTTAAAATATACTCCTTTTTCTGGGTGTTTTACACAATAATGATCAAATTCTCACCTACCTGATCGATCTGGAAGTAGCTCCCATCTGCCTCAATCCTGATCTTTGCTGCTGCTTTTCCAGCCTGTTTTTCCACCTTGACAGGTTTGATACATTCCTGAAAGAGCAATAAAGCCCCCAGTGAGGAGCTGAGCACCCGAGAGGTTGGTTGCACAGAAGTGGAACGATCAGGCACCAGTTCTGGACGGATCCGACTCCTCTCCCTTAAAACAGTGCTGTAAGAAAACATCCAAGGGAAGGCTCCTTACCCCTTTTGCACAGAAAGAACACCTTTCCAGCATCATTCCAAAAGCAGGGGATGCCTTTGCTGCTCCTTCTGAAGGATCTCAGCTCTGCTTTAGGGCTTTGACAGAGCAGCCCGTGGCCAGACCCTCCTCCCCAGCCTCAGCCCATCCTCTGCTCCTGCGCTGGGGAGGAGTGGTCCGAGGACACGCGTCCTGCTGCCAGGGAAGTTTAATTCCATGGCAAAGGGCCCCTGAGGAGCTCCCTGGGCCAATTCCCGTTCCCTGTGCTGTTCCAGGGTGGAGTCCCTTTTTTTTTTTCTTTTTTTTTTTTTTTTTTTTTTTTTTTCATTTTGTGTCGTTTTTATTGTTCAGGCACCGCCTGACTCCTCGTCCTGCTGCTCCAGCCCCGGCTCCTCTCCTTGCACACCCTGCTCTGCCTCTGGGGCCCCCAAACTCATCCACCTCTCCTGCATTCCCTACACTTCCTGCAGGGTTCGGAGAACTCCTCGGTTCTACAGCGATCCCTCCCTGAAAGGAAAATACTGAAGGATTCCCTTGGAAACCCAAGAACTAGAGGGAGAGCGAGCAGGGTTTGTTACTCCCCATCCCACTGATCTCATTTCAGGATGGTTCTCCCGCGGTACCTGTCAGCAAATATATCCAGGGTTAATATTTTGCATACTCCAGGATGAGTATTTTGCATTCCAGGGTCAACATTTTGCACTCCAGGAGCAATATTTTGCACTTTTCCAGCGCCTGGAGCTTCTGGAAGCAGCCGAGCTGCCCCTCCTCGCTGCTCGTCCCGCTGGCACAGCATCTGTGCGGGTGACTCGTGTGACAGGAACCTTCTTCAGGCTTAAGATTTTACTGGGAAGGGCCCAAACGAACACCCCACAGAGCGGGATGGGGATCACTTGGCTGATCCCAGATTCCTGCCTGTCCCCAGCGGCTCGCACTGTCCTCGCTGTTCCCTGCGCTGGGACTGGGAGGGACAGCGAGGAATGTCCATTTTCCCCCCTTTTCCCATCTCCCACAGCAGCAGGCGGTGTCTGAGAGGGGAGGGCAGGTCCCTGTGCAGTGACAGGAGGTAACTGTCACACACCCCCTCCGCCCCAACCCCCCGAGGGCCGTGTTCGCGCCCTCCCCACGGCTGCTGGGGCAGTGCCTGACATCCCCCGGCCCCGGCAGCCCCCCGGCAGCCCCGGCCCGCTCAGCCCGGCCCACCTGTGAGGGGCCGATGAATCGTCGAGGTCGGTGAGCTGCAGGACGCCGCTGAACCGCGCCGCCATGGCCGCCACGCCGCCGCAAAGCGGCGGGGACAACCGTCGTGAAACCCCGCCACACCGCCGCAAAGCGCGACGCCACGCTGTCGTAAAGCGAAGGAGAGGCGCTGCCGCAAAACGGCGCGCCTCGCTGTCGTAAACCGCGAGGCCACACTGCTGCAAAACTATGCCACACTGCCGTAAAGCACGGCGGGGAGGTTTTCTTTTGTTTGTTTTTTGTTCGTGTTTTTGGTTTTTTTGTTGGTTTTGGTTTTTTTAGTTTTGTTTTGTTTTGGGGGGTTTTTTTGTGGTTTTTTTTTGTTGGTTTTTTTTGGTTGGTTGGTTGGTTTTTTTAAGAAATAATTTAATTTATGCCATTTCCAGCAGGGAAAGTGGTTTAATGATCATTCAAGGGTTCTGGTGGTGCTGTCTGGGTGAGAATTTGGTGTTTTCTGGTTCACAGAGGGTTCCCCGTGTTTCCAGGAGTGCCTTGGGAATTCGGGGTCCTGCAGAATTGTGACACAATATGTATTAACAGGGGCTTTATTTAATAAAATATCTCACTGTACTGTTCGTAGGAGCACCCTGAGGTACCTGGGTGGGGGGTGCTGGTTGCAGGGTGCTCTTGATAATCCCAGAACAGTGGGATCTGCTGAGCTGGGAGGGACCACCAGGGACCATCCATCCAACTCTAAAGGGATCAGCTGAGACAGGGATCAAACCACAACCTGGGCATCATCAGGATCATCCAGTCCAGCTCCTACCTCGCACAGGACACCCCAACAGCCCCACCCTGTGCCTGGACCATGTTTGGTCTCCATCAGACACAGCCTTGGAGCAGTGAGGAGTTAGAGGGTCAAACCTCCCTGTTCTGACCCTACAAACAGGTCACAGAGAGGGGTTAAAGGGTCAAACCTGACCCTACAAACAGGTCAGGAGCCTGAGCTGGAGCAACTCCTGCAGGTGCTGGGCACAAGGTGCTAAGTGGGCACTCAGGGGGAGGATTTAGGGCTGGCAGCCTGGGGAGTTTGGGGAGAGTGAGAGATGGGGTTTAGAGAGACAGGCTGGAAGTTAAATCTGGCTTTCCAGTTCATGAGCTGGACCTCTGACTTCCATAACTGAGCTTTGTCTTCTCCCCTCCTTCTTTCCTAGGGCTGTGCATGTCCTGTCGCCCTTTACCGGTGACTCTGCACACACAGGTGTATCTCTGTATTTATATATTTATGTATCTATATGTTTCTATATTTCTGTCTGGAGGAGAGGGTGGGTTGAATGGCTCTGTCCCATCACCAGGTGTCAGCCTTGCTGCGAGAAGCAGCAACACACAGAGTCTCTCAGCAGGGTCTGACTCGCAGGGCATCACTTTCCTGAAGTTCCACGAGCCAGAACTTCTCGGGAATGAGGAATCCTGTCACCTCTCGCTGTGTTTTGGGCGCTTCAGCGTGTGGCAGAGCCGTCCAGGTGCTGCTGATCGTCTCAACAGAGCCAGGAGGAGCTGGAGCATTTCTGGGTGCCCACAACACCTCCCCTTTCCTGCCTGGCCCTCTGGAAGGTGAGTGTGTGCTTTGGGAGGAGCCAAGTGTTGCTGGAAACATCAGGATAAATCAAACGCTCCATCACTGCTTTTTTAGCATTAGAAAGCAGGGATTACTTTACTCACAGTGCCAGGTGCACGTGGGGTCTGTCCCCCAAAAATGCAACATCCACTTTCCAAACTTTTCACTGATCAATTTATGTTCACTGGCTATAAATTGCAAAATTCTCTTCATTAATTACTATTCTATCTTCTATTGGTTATTGCTTTCTCCCTCCTTGTGCTAATTACCCCCCCGTTTTCAGTGTTTTTGTTATCTTTTTTTTCTCAAATAGACGGAATTTCAGTGCAAATGCTGAGCTGTCTGGGTTAGTTTCTTTTTTATCTCTGGTTTCTGCCACGTGTCCTTGTGGGCTATAAATCCTGCATTCCTGGTGCCCAGTTCTCAGCAATATTTCTCTCCCCCAGGTTTTGCTCATTGAAGCACATCAAGGCTGGTTTAGCAAAATTTCAAGTTTCAGTGATTTTGCTGAACTGGGTTCGTGAAAAACCTTGCTCCAATGGGAAATTACCCCGGCTAATTAAAACAATTAATTAGGAAATTTATATAATTTCCAGCACGAGGACATGGCACAGCAGGTCACATCAGTAGCCCCATTCCTGGATTTTTAATCCTGTGGGATTAAACTCGTGGTGCAGCCAGAGCTGATGGTTGAGGGCCCCCTATCGGTGTGATAATGAGGTTCTTCCTGAGCAGGTTTTCGAGGCTGGGCTGGTTTTCCAGGAGCATTTGGCAGCTCTGAACCTCCTCCTGATGAAAACTGGTCTCCCAGTAACGTGGGTGACCTCCAAACTGGTCCTGTTGCTCCTCCTGGCTGCTGGTGTGGCTGGAGCTTGTCCAAGGGGCCTCATTCCTGCCCTGCTGGGTGGCCAAACGGGTTGGGCTGGGCATTGCTGGGCACCCTCCTGCTCTCTGGAGCAGCTGCTTGGTCACCAAACCCTGGTGAGGGAGGAACGTCAGACGTCAGAGAATCACCTTTCCTTTTTTAGCTTGTTTGCATTTCTAGTTCAGGACATGATTTAAGTGTTACATGTCGGTGTTTTTTGACTTTGTGCAATGCAAAGGTCACAGAGGAGGTTGCAGAGGACAGGGGGAGGCAGTAACCAACCAAAATCCCTTGTGCAAACCTCCAGGAAAGGTGCAACGTGGTGGGTGGGTTTTACTTCCAGCTATAAACTGATATTTGATGCTATTTGGCCTTTTTGTCCTGTCTCCATTGTCCCTGGAACACTTCCTTTAGCTGGGGAGTGTTGTGTGGCCAGAGAGGGGTTTGCTCTGGGGTTACTCCAACAGGGATAAACCAGGGCTGGGTTTCAGTGCTGAGGTGACTGGGGGTTTGGTGGCAGGAAGGTCTCTGACACCCTTGGCTTTCCTCTCCCCTCCTCTGCAGTTTAGAACTGCCCTTGTTAGCACTGGCAGGTGAGGATGGAATCACAGAATCATTAAGGTTCAAAAAGACCTCTGAGAGTCCAACCATCCCCCAGCACTGCCAAGGCCACCACTAACCCCTGTCCCCAAGTGCCACATCCACATGGCTTTTAAATCTCTCCAGGACTGTGACTCCACCTCTGCCCTGGGCAGCTGTGCCAGGGCTGGACAACGTTTTCTGGGATGAAATTTTCATTAATATCCAACCTAAACCTCCCTCTTGTTCTGTCCCTCGTTCCCTGGGCCAGACGGTCTTGCATGAGCTGTAAAACACAAACCCTCAGTGTCAGCCTCTGCTGACCCCTCTGGCATTTGGAGGTGTGGGCTCAGGAGCAACCTGAAGCCAAAAATGTTTCTTTTCCCATATTCCCTGCTCGTACCTGAACCCTTGGGCAAACAGGGTGCGACAAGCTGCTTATTGAACCAAATATTGCCTTGTTTATCAAACTGTCTTGGTGACATTTACCAGGCAGTCACATTTACCAAACAGCACAGTCACAGAGCTGCTGGCACCTGGGCACTGGCACATATTTTCACAGATCTATGCCAAGATAAGGATGGGTGGGTTTGGAATGGGCCCAAGCACCCCAGTTCCCCGTTCCTGACAAGGCTCCTCTTCCCAGCACTGCCCACAGCAGGATGTTCAACCCCAGTGGTGGGTTTTACCCGCAGGACGAGGCTTCCCAAGAATGCAGCTTCTGCTTTCAAACAGAACCTTTCAGGCTGCCAGCACAGGATGTTGCCCCAGGCAAAGTGCTTGTTGGACTGATCCACCCTTAAGCCGGTGATGAGCACCTGGAGAGCTCTCCTGGCTTTCTCCTCTGGGGTTCTGCAGTTGGTGACAAAGGGTTTGGTGCAGAGCAGCAGGATCTGCTCTGCTGTGACCACAGGGCAGTGCTGGGAGGGTCCCTGCCACTCAAATCTCTTCTCATGTGGGCAGTCTTTAGAGAGTTTCCTGGTTTGGAGAGATAAGGAGAGGAGAAGTTTCACACAGACTCTCAGTTACTGGGGCTCTTCCTTTGTGTGCCAAGTCCCATCACACCTGAGATCTGTGGCAGAGGGACAGGAAGAGCTGAGTGCAGGTGCTGGACTATCATAACAAGCTCATTGTTGTGGGCTTGGAGCTGCTTATACCTTAAACCACAGGTTTTGCATCGCTGGTGTCCCTTTATCCCTTCTGTCAGCTCTGGACCCCACCCAGCTCAGCTGACTGGGCAGCAAACCTGCTCACCAAAGAAAGGAGCTTTGCTCCAGGCTGGGACTTGACCTTCACAGCTCTTTCTCCTGGTTCTGCCTCCAGCCTCCTTTGGAGAACCTTCTCCAGGCTGCTCTTGTGTCCCCTGGTCCGAGGGATTGGACAGTGCAGCTGGGTCATGTTGTGCTTCTCCTGGACTCTCCAAGGTCGTTTACTTTGGGCATTTTGATGTGTCTACGTGGGAGATCCATTGTGGGATGCACTCACGTTGTGAAGGGGTTTAGTGGGATGGACATGATACAAAGAATTAATTCAGTTTCCCTTTTACCCCTGAATGTCTCTAAATCCTCTTTTCATACCTGGGCCATGTTGTCCCAGCAGGGCCCTCAGAGATTCTTTCTTCAAGAAACAACTAATGAAGAAACAGAAAAATAATTTCAAGTTTTTGAAAGAAAATTTGTGCTTCCAGGAGCCTCCTTTGCCTCTGTTCCATGAGGACAATTGGATTTTCTTTGAGCCTTCAGTGTGACTTGGTATAATTTCCACAGCACCTGTAATGTTTTAATCTTTTATCTGCTATTTTTCCTCCCTTACTTTGTGCTCTGTTATTGCTGTTTTTAAACCTCTCCAGATTCTGGGTCATGTTTGGGGGCAGTGAAAGGAGAGCACTGGTGAGGTGTCTGAGGAACTGGCTGTGGTCTGACTGGCTTCAGGAAAAGCCTGAGCCTTGCAGGACACGAGGCTGCTCTCCTGAGGGGAGACCTGGCTTTGCTGGGAGAGCACAAAGCCCCTTTGTGCTGGGTGAATGCCACAGGGCAGAGCTCAGCTGGGGCCAGCAGGGCGTGTGCCCTGCCTGCTGGAGATGGGACTGAGGAGGATTTATTTCCTCTGGTCACACCTGGCTCAGCACAGCAGGAGCAGCAATTGTGCAGTGTGGTGTGACTGGAGGACACTCGAGCCACACTTGGGGCTGCTCATGCCCAGCCAGGCTGGGTGGGAAGGCTCTGACTCACTTTGCCACGGGACAAACCACGTCCCAGGGCTGTCCCACCCACTGCAGGTTCCGTGGCCCCCCTTCCCACCCCACCTCGGGGGGTGTGTTGGTGATCCTGGGACAGAGCTGGGCTTCAGTTCAGGGAACAAGGAGGTTGTAGAGGAAGGGGAGGCAGAAAGGGGTCTCCTGTGTGATTGTGTTGAGCTGAAGGTGACTGTTGTCACAGGTGAGCTCCAAAATCTCCCTCACAGACCTACCAAGGGCAGCCTGGGCACAGCCACAGAGCAGGGTGTGGGCTTGGACACCTCTCCCAGCTCTGTGCTCCCTGGGCAAGAGCAGATCCCCAGTTGTCTCCCACTGAGAGCAGGTTTTACCAACATTCCTGCTCTGTGTTCCCGTTTTCCTGCAGCTGAGAAGCCCCGGATCTGGGATCTGAAGGGTCCTACAGGGAAGCTGGAGAGGGACTCTTTGTCAGGAACTGTGCTGGCAGGACAAGGGGGAATGGGTACAAATTGAAAGAGGGGAAATTCAGGTTGGATATTCAGAAGGAATCCTTCCCTGTGAGGGTGGGCAGGCCCTGGCAAAGTTGCCCAGAGAAGCTGTGGCTGCCCCATCCCTGGAAGTGTCCAAGGCCAGGTTGGACAGGGCTTGGAGCAACCTGGGCTAGTGGAAGGTGTCCCTGCCCGTGGCAGGGGATGGCACTGGATGATCTCCAAGGTCCATTCCAACCCCTTAACACTCTATGATTCCATGATCTGGCTGCAGGTGGCAGAACCTTTTGCTGCTCTCCTGGTTGACTCTTCCATGGACCCACACTTTGTCCAGCAGCTCCACAGCACCTTTCCCACCTGACCCTCTGTCATGGATGACCCTCTTCCAATGCTGATGCCAAAGGTGCAGGACACTGAGAGCTTTGGTGTTTGAAAGCTGATGGAAGGATCCCCCCCCCAGCTCCAGGACACCTCCTTGGGAATCCTGGAGGCTCCTTGCTTTGGACTCTGAGTCTGTGAATTGGTCCAGTCACAGGATGGTTTGTGTTGGTGAAAGCACTTTCACATGCTGTGAGTCACACAGGCTGCATTCAGGGCTTGCTGCTGCACCAGTTCCAAAATAGCTGATGGACACGTGAAGTGGGGTGAGAGGACTGGGAGTGTGGAGGGAGCCAGGTTTGGGTGGGTGGGGATGGTGAGTCAACACTGGCACAAACACGAGCTGTAGGTGGGCATGATGGGGCAAGTCTGAGCCTGGCACAGGACTGCTCCTGCAAACCATCAATAAAGTGACCAAGCACAGATTTTTTCAAATCCAAGGTGTAAGATTACCCCACTGTGCCCAGAGAGATTCAAAGTTACTCTGGGTTTCTCAGTAACCTGGGGGATCAGATCCAAGGATCAGCAAAAAGAAGCCTGAAGTGGGGGGAATCTAATTTAATATCCATCCCTTGCTAGACTCTGCAGCAGCTCTCATTTTATTCCTGCAGATTGTGTTTGCCAAGTCTGTTTTGCTGAAGTGTTGATGGGCTGAGAGCTTGAGGAGAGCACAGGATCACTCAAAACCAGGAGATCCCTCTGACTGCTGCTCCACAGGCCTGGGAGATCCTGGGGAACATCCCCAGGTGGGATTTGGATGAAGGAGCAGGGCAAAGTCACTCCTCAGCTCCTATATAAAGACCCCTTCAAACTAAAGGTGAGCTCTTTAATAGCACCAACATTACTTAGTTTTTAAAACAGAGCAGCCTGCAGGAGCTGGAAAGGCCCTGAAGTTCCATCCCGGGATGTGCAGCAAGGAAATGAAAGTTTGAGGAGGGAAAGGCGGATTCTGGTGACAGGGAGACAGGGATCTCTGCATTGTGATTCTGGAGCCATTGGATAATGGCATTCCTGCTCAGGGGGCTCCTTGAAGTTTGTTCATGAGGAGCTGGAGCCCACGGGGCACTTGGGTGCAGGTCCTGGGCACCTTGGCATGAGCCCAGTGTGCCACGGCCCCCCGAGCCCCTCAGCAAGGAAAGGTTCCTCAAGGAATTGGGGCAGCTGGTTGTGCCCTGGGTTTGCCTGTGCCAGTCCCAGCCTTGCCCTGTTGGATTTCGGGTTCAGCCCCCCCAGCTGCTCTCCCTGAGTGGGGAGCTCTGTGCCTGAGGGACTGACCCGGCTCAGCCTGGGGCAGCTCCCCCAGTCCAGCAGCCCTAGGATCTGGAATCTCAGGATCACAGAATATCCTGAGCTGGAAGGGATCATCCAGTCCAACTCCTGTCCCTCCTGGGACACCCCAACAATCCCACCCTGTCCCTGAGAGCGTTGTCCAAACCCTCCTGGAGCTCTGGCAGCCTTGGGGCTGTGCCCACTGCCCTGGGGAGCCTGGTCAGTGCCAACCACCCTCTGGGGGAAGAACCTTTTCCTGAGATCCATCTCAACCTCCCTGACACAGCTTCATCCCATTCCACGCCCTGACTGGCCAGCAGAGCAACTTCCATGTGTTTCTCTTTGGGACAACTGGAGGAAGCAGAAATTTTCCAGAAGTTTCAACCATTTCAAGCTCCACCAAAGCAAAATCTCCTGATTGCAAAGATTCCCTTGGTAACTGGAGGAAGGTGGTCCTGGAGGAGCTCTGTCCCAGGAGCACAGGTTCAGTTTTGTTCACATCCCATGCAGGGCAGGGGGGGGAATTCACCTCTTCAGGGTTCTCATCCCGCCTCCGCTTCCTCCTGTTTCCCAGGAATGACAGGCATTAACAAACAGCACCCAGTGACTTGTGCTACGAAACATTTGTGTTCTCAAGAGCTGAGAGGTGTGTCCAGGGCTCCGAATCCATCCTGCAGTGGGAGATGCAGGTCTGAGGAGCCAGGGACACACCCCAGTTTGCTCAGTGAAAAGGAGCCCGCTATGACCATGCCCTGCACTCCAGGAGATCCCAGGTGAGTGTCCGGGGGCTGGGCCACCTCTCCCCCTCTGCCACAGGGAACCTGGCTCAGGACACGGATAAAATGACCTGGATTAACTAACTCCAAACTCTCCACTGGCTTTCCCAGGCAGAGCAGACCCTCAGTAGTTTTTTGTGTGCTTTGGGTCTGATTTGTATTTTGTGGAGGGTGTTGGTGTGTCTAAATTTGCATGTGAGATGTCACCTTTTGACTTCCCTCCTCTGAGTTTGGTTTTGCAATTTATTTGATTTTTTTTTTTTTTGGCTGAAATAAGGTGATTCCTCACACTTGTGGGTGTTCTGAAGACCTTTCCAGAAATGCCTCCTTTACTCCCAGGGCTGGGATTTCTCCTTCTGCTTGGTGAGTAGGACCATGGAGTGGAGGGTGTTCCAGGAGGATATTCCATACCAGAGATAATCCTCAGAGGGGAGAATTGTGCTGAAAGACCATTGAATGTTGCTTTGGTGGCTGCTCTAAACCCTCAGCTTTTAGTTATTCTTGTTTGTTTTTGGATCTGGGAAGTGAAGTATTTTAGGCTTGGTAATAAACAGTGTGGAAAGGCACAACTGGAATTGATTCTCCTCCTGTGATTTCAGAGCTGTCTGCTCCCTGCTCCTGTTGTTGGAGTATCCAGGTGTCTCTGGAAATGCACTTAAGAAATAATCAGAGCTGAATCTGATTAACTGTTAATAGAATCAGAGAATCCTGGAATGGTTTGGGTGGGAAGGGACTTTAAGGATCACCCAGTTCTACCCCCTGCTATGGGCAGGGACACCTTCCACAAGCCCAGGTTGCTCCAGCCTGGCCTTGGACACTTCCAGGGATGGGGCAGCCACAGCTTGTCTGTGAATTATGGCATTCCATTGTGTGTTACAAGCTCCATGGAATTGCCACAGCCTGGGTTCCTGTGCCCTGGCAAGCCCAGGAGTGAAGGCAGAGTTGGGAAGGGCATTGCTGGCACAGGGGGGGATTTGTGTCTCAGGGGGTTCATGACACAAGATGAACCTGTGGCCTTGGTTGGAATGTTGTGAGATGAAGAATTTATTGCCATACATGAGGATTTTTGGGATATTGGTTGGGATATTGGCTCCTCTGTGATATTGCCCTTCCTCCTCTTCCTCCTCCCTGTGTGGGTGTTTCTGATGCTCTCTCGGGTCAGTGGGATGATTTGCATAATTACACATATTCATAAAAGCTTTCCAAGTGGGGGCCAAAATGATGGATGTTCCCAAGGCCCCATCCTGGGGGGAGCAGGAAGGGATTGTCAGGTGGAAACAGGCCAACTTTGTCCACTGGCAGGGAAGAATGGAATCAGGGCAGGGAAGAATGGCATCAGGGCCAGTGGATCCCTGGGCTGATCCCTGGCTGTGGGGCACAAGGGATGCAAGGCAAGGAAGTCCTGGAGAGAAGGACTGTCCCCAGAGGGTTGGTTTTTCCCCTTTCCCTGCCTTTTCCTCTTTGGGGATAGAGATGCAAGACATCCCTCATGTTGTCTAAGACACAGCCAGACTGGCCTGGGTGGGTACAGGAGGATCTTGTGTCTGTTCACTCCTCAGAGGTGACAGCAGGAATGAAAATATGTGAAATACTGGGTCAAAGGTGAGAAATAAAATACTGCAGGGAGCTGAGGGATGGTCAGGGTTGGTTGACTCAGACAGGGGCTGGGCTGTGGGAATGAGCCTTATCCTGGATTTGCTCTAAAATCACTGCATGTTGTCTTCCAGGGTGGCAGAGAACTGCTGGAGCTTCTACTGGGACACACCTGGTAAGGCATATTTGTGTGTTTAAAATATCATAGAGTCCCAGAATGGCTGGGGTTGGAGGGACCTTAAAGCTCATCCATCCACTAGACCCACCCTGCTCAAATCATCAGACAGTCCATCCCATTGGGCCTCGCACCTGAGGGCTGGGAGTGCTCCCAAACCTGGGACTTTCCAGCTGTTGGAGGCACAGAGCCAGTAAAACATGGGAATTTTGCAGATGGCAAAATGGGAACACTCTGGATGTGGGCATTGGAGTGTGTTCAGGGCACACCCCAGTCCAAATGGTTGCAGCTCACGTTTGTCTGTGCAATGATCACAATTCCATGATAACATCACAATTCCATGATAACATCACAATTCCATGATAACATCCCCTCTTCTCTCCCTGTCTCCCTGTGCAGTGCTCCAGCTCCGCTGTCAATGGTGAGTTTCTTCCCAAGTGACCTCCAGAAAGAACATTCCCACACGGTTCTGTGTTCGTATTCCTCTCACAATTCCTTTGTCTCTGTTTTTCTCTCTTTTTTGGGGATCAGAGTCTGCCCTGTGTGCCTCAGTGGAAAGGTATGTGACCCACCAGCAGACTGTCTTGGCAGCATTTCCCTTGGGAGTGATCCTGGTTTCTTGGGGAAGCAGGATCCCTCTGAAACCAGGGGTAGGACCTTTCTCCCCCCACAGTCCCAGGGTTACTCGTGGGCAGGGAGGGCTGTAGTTGCACTTGTTTAAACAGTGAAGGGAAAATACCTTCCTGGGGTTTTGTGTCTGTACAGGACAAAGAAAGGCAGGGCAAGTCCCTGGAGTGTGAGCCAAGAGCCTTGGCACTGGTGCTGAGCTTATCTTGGCTCCTGGTGGGGCTTAAGGCTCAAACAGCTCTGCTTCAGGCTTACATTGAACTTGACTTACACCTGAGGGTCAACAATTCATCTGTGCCCTGTCCCTGCTCCCAGATGGTGGCAGCAGCTCATTCTCATCCCGTGTGGGTTTGTTCTGCTGTGTTTGCTGCCAGGGGTGGTTGGTGTGGCTGCCTGGCACTGCTCCTGCTCCGGGATGGGAACAGGGAATGGCTGTCCCTGCTGGGGGGGGACAGGGAATGGCTGTCCCTGCTGAGGGGGGACAGGCAGGGAGCAAACCCTGGTGCTCAGGGGGGTTCAGGTGCCTTTCACTGACTCTCTGGGCTTGGCAGGTGTGCCCTTGGCTGTGTTTGCAGCTCTAGGGCTGCGGGGGTGCCAGTGCCCTGCTGGTTCTGCTCCCAGCTCCCCTCCAGTCCTGCCCCCATCCAGTTCTTCCCCATCTCCTCATCCAGTCCTGCCCCAGCTCCCCCTGATCCTGCCTCAGCTCCTGGCACAGCTGGCCCAGTGATGTCTTTTTTCCCCCCCAGTGCCAGCCAGGAGAAGTTTCTGGAAGCAGCCCGTGGCCAAAGCTCCCCGTGCAGCCTCTCATTTGCTCAATATGCCTGTGCACAGGTAATGGCAGTGCCCTGCTGCCCCTGGTGCTGGGGTTGTTTTCCTTGGGAATTCTGTCCCTTAGAACAGTCCGAGGCTTGGCTGGGAGTGGAGCAGCCAAAGCCTTGTCCAGTTTTCCCTCCCACGACGGAGAGAAAATCTGGGATCAAACACACAGGGAGCACCCAGAGCACTGAGCTGTGGCTGTGTCACCTCCCACGTGGGGCTAAACCACCCCGGAGCCCTCTCTGGGCTGGCTGTGGAAGTGGGGATTCCCTTTTCCAAACCTCTCTGATGAGAAAGTGGGACAAAGAAGTTTTCCAAAAGAAACTGGCTCTTAAAAACTGGCATCACAGCACTGAAACAGTCACCCAGGTCCATTGGGGTAAACCCCAGCAAAGGGTGGGAAAAGCACAACTGAAAGTGGGAAAAGCACAATTAAAAGTGTGGAAAAGATCATCTGGAACATTCCAGGTTTACTTTCTTTCCTGCTTTTGTCATCGTTGCTGTGCTGCCAGAAATTGCAATTGAATTGACAATGATTTGTGTTTGTCCGTAAATATTTCTAATAAGGAGATGACATTTCTCCAAATATTTTGGTGGGGGTTTAGGTTTGTTCTTTTCCGGCTGTTTGTTTGGCTTTTTTTAACTGAAGAATGTTTGGGAAGGAGAAATTTCCCTATGGATGTTTACACTTTGATCAAATGGCAATATTTGGGCTTTTTTTTTTTTTTTCTATGGGAAACCATTTGAATAAAGCTGTTAAGGCCACCCTCTACTTGGGGGAAGCACAGAGTAGGTACCAGAAGGATCCAGCATTTGGAACTGGGTGAGCTTAGACTTGCTCCAAGTCAGTGTGGGTTGGATTTTCTTCTGACTCTTCTGTCCACGGGTTTGATCATGTCACAGTGCTGAGTCGTGGAGTTCTGGAATGGGTTTGGGTTGGAAGGACCTTAAAGCCCATCCAGTGTCCCCCCTGCCATGGGCAGGGACACCTCCCACTAGCCCAGGTTGCTCCAAGCCCCGTCCAACCTGGCCTTGGACACTTCCAGGGATGGGGCAGCCACAGCTTCTCTGGGCAACCTGTGCCAGGGCCTCTCCACCCTCACAGGGAAGGGTTTCTTCCCAAATGCACACATGAGCCACCTGAAGGCCATTCCAGACAGCAGCACCTCTAAACATGACCCACCTTTTATCACATTTATTTGCATTTCCCTTTTCTCTTTCAGAGAACTTGGCTCCAGGACCTCCAGGATGATTTTCTCATATCCTTGTATTCTTGCCTTGTCTCCAAACCTGCCACTGCTGTGGATCCAGAATACTCTGTTCTGTTCTTTTCCAAATATGATGCTGAGAAGCTTTTGGCCTCCCTGACCACGTTCAGCCAGCGGGTGGGTACCACAGAGCCAAATCTTTGCTCACCACTGGAAGGATTTGGTTAAAATTACCTTGGTTTTTACCTTATCTTAAAAAAAGCATAATTTCAACCAACAGATTTTGCTCATAATGTTCAGATTCACGTGGATTTATGTTGATGTTTGATTATTCACTGGAATTCCTGTGTTTCTCCTCACCTCTTGCTCTCAGTTTTCCCACGTGCCTCTGTCTCTGGAGTGGAGCCTGATCTTCATCAATGGGCTGTGGGAGAAGATGCTGCAGGTGCCAGACATTGAGAGCCCTCCTGTTCTGTCTCAGTGGGTCCATGGGGGACTTCAGCCCTTCCTGGAGGAGCCCAAGGTCTTTGGTTGCCTCCATGGCAAAAACGTGTCCTGTGAGACCTTTCAGCTGCTGTAAGTGCTCCTGTCCCTGATGGCCCCGTGTGACCAGGGCAGTGTCACAGCACTGGGGCTGTGGGGAGGGGAAACCACATTGGGAGCTTTGATAAAGCTTTTTGATTGATAAAATCAGTTCTCAGTAACAGCCTTCCTGTGAGAACCCAACCCTGACTGCATCAGTGTCTGAGATGTCTGCCTTCCTTGTCCATCTGTAGAGTGGCTGCCCTGGATGGACTATACCCTGAGCTTCCAGAGGGAGAGCAGAGGAATCTTTACAGTGGGATCAAATATTATCTCACCCAGAATGGTAAATGGCTTGATTTTCTCTAAGAAACCACAGATACTTTAAGCCCCCAGTGTGGGCTCTGCCATGGGCTCAGCTCTGTTACAGGGCTGAGGCCTCCCAGGGCTTTTTGTGAATCTCCAATAGGAACAGGCTGGGACTGGGACAGTGATAAGTGCTTTCAGGAATCATTTCCCTGCCTGAAGGCTTTATTAATCCAGGACTTTTATAAATCAGCACAGTCTGACTTGTATTACTTGTGAATGGCATTTCCTGCTTTTGCTGGGACAGAACAGGGCAGGGGTTGGTTCTGAGAGCTGAAGAACTGAGCTCAGGAAGGGACCCAGGGAGGACACCCCTGGCCTAGGCAGTAACTTAACATGCCCAAATTTAATGGCCTGCAAAAACCTCCTGGCAGATTTGTGGGGAGGAAGAAAGAGGCAGGTGCTGAAAAGTTTGGAGGGCTGTGAAAGAATGAGGCATCTGTCCTGTCCCACAGGCACTTGGAGTCTGAACACATGGATTTGAGTGGAATGTGTGACCAGAGGCACTAAGGGAGCTCTGCTGAGTCCTCTGATGGACTGAAGGCTGTTTCATGCTCAGAATCTCCCAGATCCACCCATTTCCTGATTTGGTGTCTGTTTTTCTACCTGTCTGACTGCAGAATCCAACCAGAAATGCTACAGTGAAGCCATTCCAGGCCTGAATTCCACTGCTTGGTTTAAAAACTACCTTGGATCCTTTATGGAGGATGCCACAGTTGAGGACCTGCAGCTTTTTGCTGATGAACCAACTGTAAGTGCAGCCTCCTGGTGCTGAGGAACCTCCAGTGGGCAAAACATGCCTGGGAGGGTCATAATCCTGCCCTGGGCAAAATTAGAATCCCAGAATGGTTTGGGTTGCAAGGACCTTAGAGCTCATCCCATTCCACCCCCTACCATGGGCAGGGACACCTTTCACTAGCCCAGGGTGCTCCAGGCCCTGTCCAACCTGACCTTGAATTTCCTGGAGATGCTGCTGGTTGGAATATTTCTCTTGTTTATTTGTGCTGAACAGTCACTTCAGTTATGTTCCCCCCCCATGGTGATCTCTTGTGATGAGAGGCACTTGCACAGAAGTTGGTTTCATGTGGGTAATTCTGTACAAAACAAACTGGAGTCAGTAAGAGGAACAACCCCAAACTTGATCAAGGTCCCAGTGTATTACTTGAAAACAAAAATTAAACTTCCTCACAACACTAAAATCAGGTGAAAAAACACATATTGCTTGAAGTGAGTTTGGTTCAAATTGTCAGGATTAAAGTATCCATCTAAATTATTTTCCCTTTTTTTTTCTTTTTCACCCTCAGCTTCAAAAATTTGCCAGGGATCCAGTCAATATGGAGATGATCAGCAACCTCACCTTGCTCCGGGAGACAGCTCTGTACTACACCTTCCTGCTGACCTCTGCTCCTGCTTTTCCACTGTCAAGGTACAGGATCTGACAGGATCTGATCTCCCACATCATGGGAAATCAGATCCAGCAGCACCCAGTTGTGGTGCTGTGATTTAGCAAGATTTTGGGTGGTGGTTCTGATGGCTGCTTTCATTAAACCTTTAAAGCATTTTTCTCTTCCTCCAATGATTCCACTGCCTTTGCTCTTGGGGAGGGCCAGATCCCAAGTTCTAAACCTTGGGAAATGATCTCCATGCAGTGTCCTTGCAGGGTTTGTCAGGACACAGCAGTGCTTTCTGAACGGGAGCACCATCAGTTAAAATGAGGCAGGGGAAAGGTGCCCCAGGAAGGAGCATCCTCTGGAAAAAGGGGATGACAGAGCCCCTGTCTCTGGGAATTGCAGCCTCTCCCCCTTGTGTCCCCCCTGCAGCCTCCCAGACAGGTTTCTTTGCTCCCTGAGCCCCTCGGCAGTGACCAACCTGAGCAGGGACGACGCGCTGAGCTTGGCCCAGAGGATCGGGGAGAGCTGCCCCTGGATCCCGGCACGCAGAGGGATTCCCGGAGAGAGAGCTCCCTCCTCCCTGCCGGCACAGGAGCTGCAGGTAACACATCCCCTGCCCGGCCCCGGGGCTTCATTCACCTGCACAAGCCTGGCAGGGCTGAGGGTCAGCTCCTGTGCCTCCTCTGCCACCTCCTCCAGGGCAGTTTGCTTTTTTTGTCCTGGTGTCTGGCTGGGGTTTCATCATCCCACAATTTCGGTGGGTGGAGATGGTCCATCAACAGCCTTCAGCATAAAGATTGGAGGCAGAAGTGCAGTGATTTAAGGCATCCAAAGGCTGGAGGTTCCCCTCACTGCTCCCCTGACTCTCCTTTCTGTCCCCGTGGGACCTTTGCAGGTCACATCCTCCCTGCTGAGGAAGGTTGAGGATTTCTCTCCCGAAATCCTGTGTGCCCTGGGCCAGGCTGCAGTGGGACTGTCTGTGTCCAGCATCCAGAACAGCATCAGTGAGCAGGACCTTGAAGCAGCTCTTCCTGCCCTGGGGAAAGTTCGTGGCTGGAGTGCTGAGCAGTCCAGTGCCATTGTGGACAAACTGCTCCGCTCTGGCTATCAGGTACCAGGATCAGGGCCACAAATTCAGGAGGAATTTCTCCATGGAAAGGGTGGTTAGGCATTGGAAGGGGCTGCCCAGGGAGGTGGTGGAGTCCCCATCCCTGGAGGTGCCCAAGGAAGGACTGAATGTGGCACTCAGTGCTCTGGGCTGGGGGACAAGGTGGGGATGGGGCACAGGGGGGACTCCAGGTGATCCTGGAGGTCTTTTCTAACCTCAGTGATTCTGGGATTCTGTGAGGTGCAGCTCACACCTGGTGCTGCCAGCAGGTGATGTCTGGCCCTCATGTCCTTGTGCATTCCCTTGCAGCTCCGGGATGGGCAGAGCCTGGCACAGCTGGGCAGTTTGGTGGGAGGCCTCAACAGCAGCACGGTCTGGAGTCTGTCCCCAGAGGTGGTCCTGGAGGCCATCAAGGTGCCTGAGTTTGCCCAGCAAATGGAGCCCCTTCCCCCTGCTCTGAAAAGGACCTTTGTGGAAAAGGTGACGTGGTTTTTCCTCTTCAGGTGTCACAAATGAGCAAAGCTCCAGGGAGTCCCAGCTGGGAGCACTGCTTACCTGGGGCCAGGTGGGACACACCCCTGCCCCCCTGGCAGCATTCCATGGGGGTGTCACTGCCAAACAGGATCAAATCCCTGTCACTCTGCCTGTGGAGATGTCCTGGGCCACCAGCCAGGGTGTCCTGCTGAGCCTCTTGGGGATCAGGGCACAAGAGACTTGTTTTATGGGATGGTCCCAGCAACTCCTCCCCAGTGACTTGAAAAGATGCTCTCAGGGAAAGAATGTAAAGGGAGCAGAATTCATTAAAACTGTACTTGATCTCGGAGGTCTTTTCCAACCGAAATGATTCTATGATTCTAATACTGACATCGTTTGGAGTAAGACTGTGTGAGAAGTGAAGGTGACTTCAAAAGTCCCTTTATAGGGTTGACTGATCCCTCAGCAATTCACTATTTCATTCCTTCATGTGACTGTGTAGGATTTGGACACCTCTTTGCCTGTTTTCTTGCTGTATTTTGAGCCTTCCAGTTGTACATGTAGTTTTTAGGTTTGTTTTCCATCCTCCTCCTGGTAGGAAAGACTCTGATTTGTGTTTGGGACCAGAGGCTCTGCCTCTGCTTCCCTGTTCTGGAGCAGCTCCATTATTGGAAGGAATGTTGTTAGGGAAATGTTAGATGTTATAAGGGCTATAATGTCTCACCCACCACAGGATCTGCAACGTTCCTTCAGCATCCTGGGACACTGTGTCAGCAGAGAGGGAAGAGATGTCCCTCCTTCATGGCCTGTCCAATATTTTTAGGGCACAAAGCCAGGAGGTGGGCAGCTGATAGGAGACAGAATTGTTCCCATTCATCAGGACCCCAGGAATTACCTCCAAGCAGCTCTTCTAGTTTGACAGAATGTGTCAAATATTTCAGGGAATATTTCAGTGTTAGGCCTCTGTGAACTGCCCAGATGCTCAGCAGGGGAACTGGTCTGGCTTTCCCAGTTCTCTTTTAACCACAGTGTGTGTTTGATATGTTTTGTTGGGTTATTTTTAAAGATTTCCTCCAGTGTTGCCCACCCTGCTGACCTGGTGAAACACATCCCTGATGCTCTGGCCAGTTACATCCCCAAATCCTTGCTTGTTTTTGGGGAAGAGAAGCCCAGTGTTCAGGATCTCAACAGTAAGCCGTGGACCCCAGAGCAGGTACTGGGGGGCTGTGTCCCCTCACCCCTCCCTGGACTTGCAGAGCCTCGAGTCTGCTCTGCAAATCTGCCCAAAAATAGAGATGTTTCTGCTGGAAAACCTTTGACCCTCTGGCTTTGCTCCCCAGGCTGCCATGTTTTTCAGTGATGTGGTAAAGGCAGAGCCTGACTTCAGCAGGTACCAATTTCCTTCTCTCCTTCCCTTTTCCATGTTTGTTTTGATGGCAATTTCCATGTTTCCATGGGGGCTTGTGGCACATCCACTGTATTGAATCCGTAGGAACAGATGGGGATATAATGCAAACCCAAACACAGACATGGAGCATTGGGATTTCCCGGGGTCTCAGCTGCAAAATGTAACCATGAGCCACAATTTCTTTCTAAAGTTATGCCTCTGGCTCAGGCTGCACCTGGAATCTTGCTCCAGATGGCCCCTGTGGAAGGCATTTCTAACCAGGGAATGTGCCAGTCTTCCACAGTGCAATTCCAGGGATTCATTAGTGGGGCTGATGTGGCTTTTGTCATATCTCAGATGAAAAATTATGTAAAGTTATTTATAGTGTCCTGCTTTGAACTCACCCCCCCTGAAGTCCTTGCCCTTCTGATTTCCCTCCTGTCCATGTCCAGGCTCTCCCAGTCTGTGCTCCAAGGTTTCACCTGTGCAGCTGCCAAAGATGTGGAAGCAGGAAGATTTCGGGAGCTGGCCAAAGTCATGAGGAGCAAGAAAGTCAGGCTGGGAGAAGACCAGGTAGTTCCCTTGTTTCCAAGTGCCATGTTTGATGTTGTCCTGAAGGTACAATGAGGATTGTTCAACACTCTGAGCTTAAGGGACTAGAACAGGGATGTGTCAGGGGAGGTTTAGGTTGGATGTCAGGAAAAGGTTCATCCCTATTTTCTTTCTTTGGAACAGGATAAAATCTTGCTTTTGTTTTATTTTTTCTTATGTTCCATGCTGGTTCTTTCTCTGATTCCATCTCTGGTGTCCTCCCAGCTGAGTTGCTTACTGAGGATGGTGACACTGCATGGGATTCCTGAGGATTTGGACAGTTATCCTAAAGACCTGTTGCTGTTTTTAAGGTAACTGTGATACAGTTTTCATGTGGTTGCCTTAGTGGGAAATAGAGGGACTGCTTTTTAACCAGGATGGTTTGATTAGTTTGATTTATATTTCAGACTTTTCAGGCCTTCTTATGGAGAATCAAAAATCGGATTGCAGAAAGCTGAAGGAGGGCAGGGTTAGATGGGATACTGGGAAGAAATTCCCTCCTGTGAGGGTGGGGAGGCCCTGGCACAGGTTGCCCAGAGAAACTGTGACTGCCTCATCCCTGGAAGGCCAGGTTGGACTGGGCTTGGAGCAACCTGGGCTAGTGGAAGGTGTCCCTGCCCATGGCAGGGGGTGGGATGGGCTTTAAGGTCCCTTCCAACCCAAACCATTCCAGGATTCTATGAAAGCTTTCAAAAGGGTTTTAAGGTCTTTTCAGATTCAACCATCCAGCATATTAATATAAACACCTTGAAGTAATTTCTGGCTATGAAACCACATGGATATGTCCGGATATGAAACCAGTATCAAATCTTAGCAGTGTCAGGCCTCCCTGAATGTGCTTCTCCCTCCCAACAGCAAAGAAAACAGGCACTGGAGTGGATTTCCTTGTCCCAATATCTTCCCACTGTGCTTCTGTGTCCAGATCTGGAACAGTTTTAGGCTGTGTCCCAAAATAGATCCCTTAAGGTGAACATTAATTTGGGAAGAACACGGACTAGGATTTTTCAGAGAACAACTGCAGGGAGTTTAGTCTGCAGATGTGGAAGATGTTTAGTTGAGCACCCTCAAACCTGACCAGCTGCTCCACATCATTCCCTAGAATTCATGGAGTGTTTGTCTTTCCAGTCCTTCAGACTATGCAGCCACTGGAAGCTGCAGCCAATACTTCAATAACATTGGGGAAGCAAATCTTGATGTTCTGCCAAGAGAGTCCCCTCAGAGGAAACAGCTTCTCCTGGAGGCTCTGGCATGTCTGGTACGTGGGCAGGGACAGGTCTGCAGGAGGGTTGGGGTCCAGGAATGCCCCTCCCCTGTGCCAGCCAGGCCTGGACATGCCTCTGTCTTGTGTTATTCCAGAAAATCCCTGGCACACAAATAAATGAGGAGGATGCTGAGATCCTGGGCCGCCTGGTCTGTGACCTGGGGGGGGAATACATCAGGAATTCGGGGGGGATTTTGCTGAAGGACCTAAGCCAGTGTGAATCTTTCCTGCCTGACCAAGAAGAGGCCATTAGGGATGTCATCAGCAGTGGGAACACCACATTCGGGTATGAAATGTTCTTTTAGATGTCAATAAACAATTCCCTTAATCAAACCTAATTTTCTGTTAAGACCTGAGTGAGCTCCAGCCAAAAAGCCTGATCCAAAACCCAAATAATTTATTGCTTTTGAGCCTTTTACTTTAATTTATTTGAACTTCTTTCAGCTGAAAGGCTTGGGTGAAATTCTACTGAAAAATAAGTTTGTTGCTTCTGTGTCTCTCTTGCTCTGGTTATAAAAGCTTTTCCTATGGTCTATTTTTTTATTAACCAAACTTCTCTGACTGTCCTGGTGAACACAGGTGAGTTCAAGCTGTTTGTCAGCCCCAGACTTTCAGGAAACATTCTGCTTCTACCTGCTTGATAAATCCCTGGCTGGCTCCAACAGAGGGAGGCAAATATTTCCCTCCCTCTTATCGGGTGCCCTGAGATCTTGGCACTGAGTTGGGTGATATGAGCAATAGAAATTCTTTGGGTTTCATGCCTGTGAAAAGCAGGTATCAGTTAAATGCCATTTGCCCTGATTCATGTCACTGTCACCTGTCCTGCCCTGCTGGAAGGAAGTTTGGTGTAACAGGAAGGGATCAAGGTGTTTTAGGATTTGAGTCTTGTGCTTTCTTGACGTCAGGTGTTACAGGGACATAATCCTGGCAGCTTTTAAGGTGGGTTTTTTTTTTGTTCTGCTCTTCCTTGAAAGCTGATCCCAGCTTGTTTTTGTCTGCAGGCCTCCCGCAGCCTGGTCAGCCTTCACCCTGAGGGACCTCTCGGGGCTCATCCCTGTGTTTGATCACAAGATCTTGCGGGAGATCCCCAAGGTGGGTTTTCAGACAGGGGTGGGGAGTTTGGGAAGCACTCCTGGCTCTTAGAGTGTGGGAAGAATATGCTGGGGGTTGTTCAGCCGTGTGCTTTTCAGTAGTTTCCTCTTTTAAAAGAGGTCTGGTGCCAAAGGGGATGATGGTCTGGGAGAAGTGAGGGCTGATGGAGTTGACAGCCTGGAACTGCAGATCCAGCTCTCTGTCAACCCCTTCCTGTCACTGTGGGGAGAGCACCAGAGAGGGAAAACAGCAGTAAAATACACACAGTACCTTGTGAGGAGGTAAAATCACTCGTGGGGGGGTGGGATATGTGGAGTGCAAGCTTTAAAAATTTGCCTTTTTCGCTCACCAAGGAGGGATCTGCAGGTGTGCTGCCCAGGGCACCTCGACAGGGACTTTTAAGGGTGTTGTGCTGGAGGTGCCCCCAGGGCTGCACCATCCCCCTGATGGAACGTTTTCCTTGCAGAATTCTCTGACCCTTTGGCTGAAGAACTTTGCCCGGGATTCCCCCCTGTCCAGGGAGGAGTTGGCCACCGTCGTGGGGGAGCTCCTGCCCACCCGGCACAGGAGGGCCGATGGTATGGGAGCTCCCTGGGGCCAGAAGGGCAGCATTCCCACCGGGATCAGGGTTGTCCTAGTGTTGTGGGTGTCCCTAAATGGGTATGGAGCACTTGGGGGCAGATCACCCATGAGGAGGGTGGGACCCTGTTTGCACACCTGTCCATCCCCAGCAAGGGGGCATCTCCATGAAGAACTTCTCCATGGAAAGGGTGGTCAGGCATTGGAAGGGGCTGCCCAGGGAGGTTTGGAGTCCCCATCCCTGGAGGTGTCCAAGGAAGGACTGGCCGTGGCACTGAGTGCTCTGGGCTGGGGGACAAGGTGGGGATGGGGCACAGGGGGGACCCCATGGGCTGGGAGAGCTTTTCCAACCTTAATGATTCTTGGATTCAAGCTGGAGTTGATTGCTCCAGCAGGTTGTAGCATGGAGATAACGGAGGAGATGCTGAGCACTGACCTGATGCCCGCCTACTACTACAACCCTGAGGAGTTCCGGGCCTGCCTCAGGAACATGTCCCTGGAGAACCAGGTCTTCCTGGAGAACCACCTCTCCCAGGTCCTCAGCTACCCCTTCAGTGTGGAGCAACTGCAAGTGCTGAAGGACTACCTGGATGAGGTAATGCCAGCCCAAAGAATGGCAAATGTCACTTGCAGATGAGATTGCTCAGGGACTTGTCCAGTTAAACTTAGTACCTCCAAGGACTGGGGCTCCATCATCTCTTGGGGCTCCTCTCCCAGTGTTTGACCACTTCACTGTGAGAATATCTATTTCTTAATATCTAACCAGAGTTTTCTTTGCTTGTTGGGCCTTGGCCTTCACTGTGCACCCCTGAGAGGAACGTGGCTCCACCCTCCCTACCATCTCCTATTAAATAGCTGAAGGCAGCAATAAAATCCTCACCTAATCTTCTCTTCTTCAGACTAAAAAACTAGGTCCCTCAGCCCCACTTTGTAACCATAACAGTGGTGTTTCCACAGAGGTATCCTGATGGTTATCCTGAAAGCCTCCTCTCCAAGCTGGGTCCCCTCACCTCTCTCATCACCCCTGAGGAAATTTCCACATGGAAGATGAACTCAGCTGATGCCCTGGCTGCCTTCCTGAAAAGTCAGCCCCCAGATCTCCTGGTAGGGACTTGGCTTTCCTTTCCTACTGATGTTTCCTTCCTGGTTTGGGAGCTGCTGGTTTAGGATTAGGGCTTGAAGATGGTTGAACCATCCTTGGTCCCCCGGGGTTGGGTGGCCCATCCTTGAGGGCCAAACGGGCAGATTTGAAACGATCCCGGTTTGTTTTTGCAATAATTGCATGTTCTCCTTTGGGGGGTGAAAGCACGAATCCTGATTCGATCCCATTAATCAAATTAAACGTGTTTGCAGGCCTCAGCAGTGATCAAACGTTATGTTGAGCTGGGCAATGCCCTGAATGCCACTGCCCTGGATGCCATCGGGACCAGATACGTGTGCCTGCTGAACACCACGGAGCTGCAAGCCATAGAGCCCAGCAGCCTCAAGTGAGTCACAAATTGGGATGTTCTTGGCTTCTTGGAAAAGCACTTTCCCATCAACAAGTGCAATTTCTTTTTTTTTCTTCTCTGCTCAGTGAAAGGAAATTTAGGAAGGAACTCAGTACTTGCTCTCTGTCCAGGTTTAAAACCTACTGGTCTCTGTCCTGCCAGGAAGGGCTCAGATTTGCAGTTAAACTCTCTTTATGGTAACTCAAAAGATAATTAATTAATTTTGTAGAATCACTGAATCGTTAAGTTTGGAAAAGTCCTTTAAGATCATTAAGTCCAACCATCAACCAGCACCACCATGTTCACCACTAAACCATGTCCTCAAGTGCCACACTGGACATTTCCAGTTTAAATTCCTTTGAAAGACTGGTAAATGAAATTAATTAATTACAGCTTTGCAAACACAGAAACTTACTGTTCACCATCAGAACTCTCCTAACTTTGAAGACAAATCCTTCTGAGCAGGAAACTGAGCCATTATTTCCCCCTCTCAGCTTCTCTCCACACATCTTCTGTCTGCTGGGAAGAGGGGGTCACCTGTGCTGTGCAGAGAATCCCAGAGATACACTCAGGAGAGGTGAAAATTTATACAAGTTGAGGATAATAAAAGCTTTTTTCACCCTAAATCTTTGTTTTTCTGCAGACTGGTGTCTCTGAATCCTTCAGCCTGTTCACAACAGACCAAAGACCTCTTGTATGAGAAAGCCAAAGAAGCTTTCTATCCCCAGCACGTCTTTCCTGCTTACTATCAACTGATTTTACCTTATCTGGGTATGTAAAAACCAGTATGTTATGGGGGAAGAGGGGTCTCAGCCATGAGCTGAATGGGTATCAAGATACATCAGAGTTCTGGGAATTTTCAAAGCCACGTTGTTCAAAGTTTGCCTTTCCAACCTGTAGGTGGCATAAAATACTGTTGAAAGATTCTGTACCTGACTTGAAGTTGCCCAAATCAATTGTCAGACTATCACAGGGAAAATCAGACTCTCTCCCAGCCCTTTTCCATGGCACAAACCAGATTTCTTTTTCCCTCTTAAGCTAAGAATTTATTCCCAGCCTGAGCAAACTCTTCCCACCCCTCTGTCTGTTGTCTGGCATTGCCACAGATTGGTTTAATTCCCAAGACAGCAGTAAGTCCCAGCAAAAAAGGAGTAGCATCCACATATTTTGCAGCTGGGACTCTGGTAGGAGCCCCATTCCTAATAAATTTTGGAGCCATCATTGTAGCTCCAGCTCGTGCAGATACAAGCACAGCTCACTTGGGGGCTTCCATGCTCTGATCTTCTTCTTCTCTTTGGTCCCAGAGGGGGCTCCTGGTGAAGATCTCAAGGCTCTGAGCCAGGCCAACGTGAACATGAACATGAGCACTTTTGTGAGTTTAAGAAGAGATGCTTTGATGGTGAGTTGGAGTTGGACCTTGGAATTGTTGGATTCCTGGTGTTTGTGTTTTGCTGAGTAGTTGGGTTTGGTTGCCTTGTCCACGGATGGAAATCAGGAGTCATTCCATCAAACCCAGAATGATGCTGGACAGGTAGAAAGTGGAGAACTGGCCTGAAGCTTCTTAAAAAGTCTCATTTGGAGTCCTAGATGGAAGCTGAGTCAGCTGAGTTCCTCCAGAGCAGGCTCATAGCACTGGTGACAGGAGCAGGGGACAAGTGTCCACTAGACCATGGTCACAGCTGTGTGACAGATCTTCTCACCAGACTCTTGGCAGTAATGCCATCAATTTTGGGAGAAATCCCAGTGATTTGGGCAGGGACTGGGGCCCCCAGTTGAGTTAGGAGACTTGTCATCAGAGGACAACAGAAATAGCCTTTGAGGAACCACCGTGTTCATCCCCAGCCCTGAGGGAAGATTGTCCTGAGGGGAACCATGGCAGGGATTTGTCTTCCTTGCTCTTCCCACTTCTGCCAACAGGAACCTCACCATTTCCTTGGCCAGAGGTGTCATTTTCTTGGCCAGATGTGTAATTTCCATTCCTACATTTCCACCCCTAACTCCTGCTCTGGGATTCCTCCTAGAGCCTGACACCCCGTGAGGTTCAGGGCTTGCTGGGGATCAACCTCCCAGACCTGGCCAAGTGGCAGTACAGGTCTCCTGTCCGGGAGTGGATCCGGGTACAACAACAATCCCAGCTGGACCAGCTGCACATCGGGCTCACGGGGGGAACACAGGAAGGCTACATCAACCTCGTCACTCCCAAATTCCCAGGTGAGTGTTTTCAGGACCTCTGAGGGCTGGGTTGGGTTTTAAATACTTGTTTTGGGGTTACAACAAGGAGAAGAACTGGGGCAGCAAGTTCAGCTCTGCTGAGGAACCTGAAGCCCTGTAATCCCACTGGGAGCATCCTCACTGGCTGAGTGAGTGCTTCCAGGGCCTCCTCCCCTGTGGTGTGCTGGATTTGGGCTTAGAATCATGGAATCACAGAATGGTTTGGGTAGGAAGGGACCTTCTAGTTCCAAACCCCCAAACTTGACTCGGTGGGGCTGTGAGAAAAGCCAAGGTAATCCCTGGGTGGGGCATGAGGAGATGTTTTCCCCACGGAGGAGCAGCTCAGTCGCTGGTTCCTTTGCACTAATGCCCCTCTTTGTCCTCCAGCACCATCCTCAGCCCCTCTGGGTGCCATGGCCATGGCACTGCACCTCCTGCCTGCCCTGCTCCTCACTTTCCTCATGATGTCCATCCTGTCCTGACCATCTTCTCTCCAGAGGAAGCAAGACCAGGGGTTGGTTCCATCCTGTGAACTGCTCTGAGGCCTGTGGGCACCTCCAGCCTGGGGCTGAGGGGTGCCCAGAGCACCAGGCAACTGGGATCAGCCCAGGAATCACTTCTAGGTACTTTTGTCTTTCAAATCACTCGGAAAAACCCAGTTGTGCCTGAAGAGAAGATTCCAGACTCTTCAGAGCAGGACCTTTGCCTTTGGCAGAGCCCAAGTCCAGGTCAGCCCCAACCATAACACTGCAACCCAAACCACGTGCATGTTTTACTGGGGGGGTTAAGGTTAAAAATGACATTTCCCAGAGCCTGATCTCGTGACACTGCCAAGACCTCAGAGTGGAAGGGAAGTTTGCTGGCTGATTGTAAATAAATCATGGAAATAAGTAAAAAAAATGCTAAAGCAAAGTTGCTGTTGTCTGCTCTTCCTTCAGGCTGCCAAAATCGAGTGGGCAGAGCCCCCAGACCTGCCTGTTACTTTTCCTTGGTGTTGATTATTCAACACTTAAGAGCTGAGGGTGTTCGCAGCTTCCTCAGGGGGAGGGTAAAAAACTTTATAGGTTTTAAACAATTTGTTCCCCCACTTATTGGGAATTTCTGTCCAAAAAATGCCTCAGTACAACCTGTATCCAGCCCCTGACAATCCCCTTTCCCCCAGGGAGGAGAGCCTGGAGGAGAAAGAGGGATATAGATGTATAGATATATAAAATAATCTTTGCTGTCATTGCTTTACAGAATGAGAGCAAGAGAGCCTGGTCTGCCCTTCAGTGCAGACTTTAGATCTAAGCTAAAATAGTACAATACTAAGCACTAAACACCTCAAAGATTAGGAAAACACTAGTTGATTGATGGTTTATTGTATAGCATTGCACCAGTAATCAAGATAAATTATCTTCAGTGAATCATCCCATGAGAGTCTTCGTGGAGTTTGAACAGATCTGGATCAAAAAGCAGTTCATGAAATGAGTAAATGCAATTTTGGGGATCTCTCAGCTGCATTGCTGGGCTGTGTTCTGCTTCTTTTGCAGTGGCCAGTGACTCCAATCCCTGAGTTGTCCCACTGTTTCACAGATCCCAGTGGGATTCCTTAGAAGGAAAGCCCCTGGTAGAAGTGGGCCTGGTGTTATTGCCCTGTCAGAGCACTCAGCACTGCTGGTACTACATGGAGTAAACTGCTAGTAAGTACCCGTGGGGCTTCTCTGGGCTGAAAAATACCAGTTCTCCTTTCACTGCCCAGCCTCAAAAATAATAATCCCGTTCTGTGCTGGTATCAAACGGAGGAGTTCTCTTCCTTTCCCGGGTTTCTGCTTTTCCAGCGGGGAATTTCCCAGCACCATTGTGTTGCAGGGTGGTGGAGACGAAGGAGGGATGGGGTGGGTGTGGTGCTGAGGTGGGGGTCAGAGCAGCCCCTGCAGCAGCAAGGTCCCCACGGTGACAGCCAGCACGTGGATGAGGCAGGAGGACAGTCTGGGTCCTGAATCTGGGGGGAGAACACAAATAATGGGATTATCCAGGTGCAGGGCATGTGTGAGCTGAGAGGGCAGTGGAATTCAGGTATCCCAGGGGGTCCATGTGTTAGAACAGCACTTCTCAGCCCCCTGGGACCTTGCCTGTACCTTCTCAGACACTGGCCTGCCCCAGGTGTGACTGTCCCCAGGCTGAGCCTTCCTGACTCACCAGCACAAGACAGGAGTGAATCCCCAGGGTCATTAAAGCTACAGGGGCAGCTCTGCCAGAGCAAAGGAGCTCAGACTTTAGTGCTTGCACTCAGGAACACCATGCCCAGCTAAAACAGGGAAGGCCAAACCCAGGTAGAGAGCAGCCCAGGGGTTAGCAGGAGTGGGATTCCTCCAGGATTTCTCCAGGATTATTCCAGCTTTCTGCAGTGCTGGGGGCTGGGGGGGCTCAGAGACACCTCAGGGTGCTCCTGGGCAGACCTGAGAGCTCGCAGGACCTGAGGCAGCTCCGGGGGCTGCACAGACACGTCACTGCCCGTGAAGCCAGGACTGAATCCAGCAGGAATGAGGTGGATCATCTGCTTACTGCTGAAGACCTCGGCCTCACCATCATTCCTAAGCCTTTCCTGACTCGGAACATTCCCACCTTACCAGGCTTGGGCTGCAGGTTGATGTGCCCGTTGGATGTTGGTCGTGGTGACTCCGGCACAGCTCCGGGGCTTGGTTTGGTGGCCTCACTGCTGGTGGTGGTGGAGGAAGGGCTGGGGAATCCCGGGGGGCCACTGCTCGGGCAGGGCACTGGGGTGGTCTCGGGCGTGGAGGAGATGATGCTCTTTTGGGTGGAGATGGTGGAGCTGGGAACTGGGGTGGGCTTGTGGGGAGGGGGGCTTGTGGCTGGGGCAGTGGGAGCAGAGGTGGAGAGAGGGACAGGGCGGGCAGAGCTGTGGGTGGCAGTGGGTGCAGAGGGGGAGAGAGGGACAGGGAGAGCAGAGCTGTGGGTGGCAGTGGGTGCAGAGGGGGAGTGAGGGACAGGGAGAGCAGTGGTGTGGATGGCAGTGGGAACAGAGGTGGGATTAGGGACAGGAGTGCTGGGAGCACTGGGAGTGCTCAGGGTGATGGTGGTGTGGGTGGCAGTGGCTGCAGAGGAAGGATTAGAGAGAGAGGTGAGGGTGTGATGGGTGGCAGTGGGAGCAGAGGTGGGATTAGGGATGGAGGTGACAGTGGTGTGGATGGCAGTGGAAGCAGAGGTGGGATTAGGGACAGGGGTGCTGGGGATGACAGTGCTGTGGGTGGCAGTGGGAGCAGAGGTGGGATTAGGGACAGGGGTGCTGGCAGCACTGTGGGTGCTGGGGATGACAGTGCTGTGGGTGGCAGGAGCAGGGTGGGTGGTCCCCCCGGGTGCTGGGGTGTTCACAGGCACCAGAGGGGAGCTGGTGCTGTGGGTGGTACCAGCCGGGTCAGTGCCAACACTGGTGCTGGTGGTGGCCCTGGAGGTGACAGCAGGGACTGGGACAGAGCTGGGAGAGGTGGTGTTGGGGTTGACAGGGGCCAGGGTGGTGGGGAGGAGTGGGACAGGAGACGGGGTGGCCTTATTTGTGGTGGGAGACTGGTGGGTGGAGCAAAGGGGGGGCGATGGAAGTGGTAGAGTGGGATGAGCAGACTGGAGGTGGCAGTGAAGTGGCATGGAAGTGGGCAGGGGGACTCTTCAGTGGAGGGGGGACCTGTTGTTTAGGGGGGTTGAGGCTGAGAGCACTATGGGGTGGGGGTCTGGAGGGGGACTGTCTTGACTGGGTGGTCGCGGGGGTGGTAGTGGCAAAGGAGGTGGGGACAGTGGGTGAGGGTGGTGGGCACAGGGAAAGTGCCAGTGGAGGTGGCAGCTGGCTGAGTGGTGGGGATGGAAGGAGGGGTGGAGGACAGTGGGGAAGGCGTGATGGAAGTGGGGAACGTGGCTCTGGAGGTGACACTGACCAGGGTATAGAGTAAGGAGGGTCGGGACAGTAGGCTTGGGGTGACAATATCTGGGGTGGTGGGGGCAAGGAACAGGGGGACAGTTCTGGGAGGTGGTGGGCACAGGGCTGGTGGCTGTGGAGGTGACACTGGCTGTGGTGGGGGGGGCAGCAGGCGTGGTTGTCCCCATGGGGTCCTCCATCCCTCCCTGCAGGCCGATTCCCAGGACACGGTCCAGCTCCCTCTGGAACTGTCTCTCCACCCAGCCCATCACCAAGGGCTCGTTCTCAGCTTTCTTCAGCTCTGGGAGGTTTTCCCCGAGCAAATTTTTCACGTCCATGACACTGAGTTTCTGCAACACACACACACAACACCCCCTTCGTTCATCCTCACCGCCGGCATCACCCCAAAATGCTTTTCTAGTGGGGCTGCAGAGCAAGGAAAAACTTCCAAAGGAAACTTTACACAGGTAAAAAAGTGGAGAATTGGTGATTTGATGGGACTCAGGCCTCGGACCCCCTGCCCAGCCCTGGGCCAGCCCTGCCCTGCAGAGGGGAGAGGGGTAGGGGCTGTACCTGCAGTTCCTCGGGATTTAGGGACAGGAAGGTGTCCATATCCATGTCTATGGCCACGCCAGCATTGGCCAAGGCTTTCAGGTCCTCTGCTGGAGCTCCACCTTAAAGAGACACCTGGACATGTACCAACCATCCCAACATATCTGGGGAGCCTTTGGAGGCTGCCAGACCTGTCCCAGCATGGCCAAACCTCCCTGGATGAGGAAAAGACAGCGAGCCTCGTGGTGGGAGGGAGGGGGAAGGAGGAAGCACCTACCCAGGTATGGCTGGAGCCGGCAGTAATACACGCTGGGGGTGTTGGCCAGGTCAGCAAAGGCCTCCCGAGCCTTCCTGTAGAGCAGCTCCTTCTTGGCTTGGGAGCAGGCAGAAATGTCTAACTGCCCAGCAGTCCTGGAAGGGAGGGTCACAGCTCAGAGAGGGGCAGCACCCCAACCCACAGCCCAAGTGTTCTGTTGGCCGGGGGAGCTGTGTGGGGCATCCCCACTCCCGGTGCTGGGGCTCCGGCAGGAGCTGGGAGCGGGAGCAGCGATCCCACCCTGCTGCCTGGGAGTGGGCAGAGCCAAAACAGAGCTGGGGGGCTTCCATCCCAGCACCCCCTTCCCCACAGCCCCAGGACCCTCGCAGGACTGCCCAGTGCCCCTCAGAAGAGCCTCACCCGATTGCTTGGGCGGGGATTTGCTCCACCTGCTCCTCCTGCAGGTTGCACAGGTGGCTGCCCCCGATGGCCTGGAGCAGGGGCCCGGTCAAGGTGCCCCCCAGGGTCAGGTACCTGCTGAGCAGCTGCTGCACCTGCGGAGCATGGGGTCCATGTGGTGGGAGCAACAGGGTGGGCAGGAGATGCTCCTGCTAAAGGTGTGCTGCCAACACCTCGCCCCAAGCTGGGCTGGGGCCTCAGGGCTGGGCAGCCTCATCTCCTGCTGCTGCCATGGACTTACCTGGGAATCATCCCAGCACCCTTCCGAGGAGCTGAGCAGGGCTACCAGTGTGTCACTGGACGTCACTGACCACTGACTGATCTCCTCCTCTGAGTACCAGCAGGCCAGCAGTCCCAGGCGCCTCAGCAGCTCCTCTGGGATCCCCGATGGGTAAGCCTGTGGGGCCAGGCCAAGGGGGTAGAAACCAGGGTGAGGGAAGGGAAAATAGGGCAGGAATGGGTGCAGAGGACTCGCTCGGGCACCTTCACCCCCACATCCATTGATGCCCTTCACCCCCACATCCATTGATGCCCTTCACCCCCACATCCATTGATGCCCTTCATCCCCACATCCATTGATGCCCTTCATCCCCACATCCATTGATGCCCTTCACCCCCACATCCATTGATGCCCTTCATCCCCACATCCATTGATGCCTGTTCCCACAGCAGGTCCTGCCCATCCCAGACCGTGCCCATCCTGCTGAGGGGCTGCTGGGGCCTCCTGCCCTGTGTCACCCCTTACCTGGTCCACCTTTTCTTTCATGACCTTGTAGTAGTCCACGGTGAACGGCATGTCCAGCAGAGCCTCCAGGTTTTCAATTAAGACATCGTTGCTCAGGCACAGGTTGAACTCCTCAGAGGTGTAATCCAGGGATAACAGGGGGTTTGTGGTGATGGTGGTGGAGGTGATGGGCTTGGAGGGGCAGCCTGTGGGTGAGGAGTTGTGTCAGGCAGACGGTGTGTCCCCCCTTCCCACCTGGCCCTGGTCCTGCCACGGGGCTCAGAGCCCCTTGGAAGAGCCCTGGTGAATGAACATGGAATCGCAGTAACGTAGCTTGAGCCACTGTGGATCCTCCTCCCATCCCCAGCCCATAAAGTCTTATTTGCTTCCATTCCTTAAAGTTATTCCTGAAGAACACGGGGGTGTTTTTGCAGCCCACTTGCACTTTGTCCAGTTAAAGGCAACTAAAACCTCTCCAGGTCATCTATAGGAGCATCCTCTGATCTTGCAGCGTCCTCCACTTGGTGCTGACCCTGCCTGGGGAATATCCCACCCTGTCCCACTCCTTCCCAGCTGCTGCTGCCATACTCCTGCTCCCAGGTAAGAGCAACCCCCTCCAGTGTTCTGTAAGGTCCTTTCCCCACCTCCCCAGTTATTTTATGGGAATCCCATAGCTTTCTGCCTGGTCCTGTGCCTCCCCACTCCTGGGAGCACCCAGATGCCCACCAGCACAGGGGCATTTTCACCCCTCTCCCCCCCAAGAGCTCTGAACTGGTCTGGACTGGGTAACACTCACCGTCCATGCTCCGCTTCAGCCTGGGATGAGATGAAGCTGCTCGGGGGAGGCTCCTGCTCCACCTGTGTCAGCCCCATAAAGGAAAGGGAATTCTTGGTGTGTTTGTGCTCCAGGAGGAGCCAAAGCAACCGGAATCCCTGCCCGGGCACAGGCACGGAACCGGCTGTGCGAGGCTGTAAATCCTCCCCAGCCCAGGGACCCGTCACAGCAGCCGGGCGTGGGGAGCAACCAAACACACACCGGCCCCACTGCCCAGACCCCCCAAAACCCAGAGCCCTGGCTGGGGCTGTACTTACCCAGGGTGATGCTCTGCAGTGGACAGGACAGCTCCAATGACCAGGGCAGCCTGGGGACAGGATGAGGGATGCTCAGCCCAGGCAAGGAGTGGGAAGAAGGGATTTCAGATGCGGGGAATGGGATCTGACCTGGCTGAAGGCTGCCCTGATGGCATGTGGGGACAAAAGCCACCACAGCCACTCTCAGGAGTGGGGACCCTTCAGTGGGTCTGTCCCTGTTTCCCCAGAGCCAGCAGAGCTGGGAGCCCATCAGGGTGCCAGCCCTTGGTCTGGGAGCAGGGCAGGGAAGCTGCTGGGCAGTGGGTGAGTGAGGGGTGGGATGGGACAGGGACAGGCCATGGGCTGCCCAGGGGGACAGCAGGCAGGTGACAGCTGTGCCTCCCTGCAGCTGAGGGATGGAGGAACCACGGAAGCTCCGGCACCAGCTGAGAAGTTTGGGAAAGCCCTGGAGCGTGGGGAGCCAGCGGAGCCGGGGGAGACTCACCACTGCAGCTTTCACCAGGTTTGTGGAGACACCTGCAAGGAAGCAGGAGCAGGTTAGGAAACATCCATGGATGTATGTACAGGTGGTCACGGGAGGTTCCACAGCTGCTCCAGGTTTAAAGTCTGGGAAGAGCCTTTTCTTTGGCAATTTAATGATGTTCACTTAAACCTCTATGCAGAGAGCAGCCCCCAGCCCAGGCACCCCGGGGTCCCTCTGGGTGGGTCTGGAAGGCAAAAAGGGAGAAATCTGTCCCTGGAAATCTGTCCCTGTCCTTGGGAAAAATCTCCCACTGCCTGTGGATGCTGAGGGGAGCAGGAGGCAGGGGGCAGGGAGTGCCGAAGCCGAGCAGGATGGGGATGAGGAGCAGCACGGGCTGGAGCATCCCTGGCGCTGGGGGTGGATGGGGGTCCCAAAGCAGCTTTAGGGACACGAGGTGTCACTCACGGAGGCAGAGGGCGATGGCAGCCGGGGCTGGGGCTGCCCACACCATGGTGCTGGTGCTGGGGCTCCGCCCTCGGCGCGGGTCCGGAGGGTCGTGTCCGACACTCGGGGTTGTTGGAAGGTGCTGGGGGTCCTGCAGCCGGTTCTCTCACCCAGCAATGGGGCTGGAGCTGTGTCCCACACTCAGGGTCGGTGCTTGGGGTGGTACTGGGAATCCTGCAGCTGATTCTCTCACCCCACACGAGGCTGGAGCCGTGTCCCACCCCTGGGGTTCTTCTCCCTGCAGCCGATTCTCTCACCCAGTGCTGAGGTTGGAGCTGTGGGATCAGGGTGGGTCAGTGTGCCCACCTGTGCTGCCTGCACAGATTCCCCACAACCAAGGGAGAGATTTAAAATCCTATATAACGAAAAAGATGATTTAATTCTCCACTCGTCATTAAAAGAAACTCCACAATAACTTCTCCCCTCTGACACCCAGTGCCCTGCTCCTACCTGTGCCCTGCAGGGACGGGGTCCCCCTCCATCCCCCATATCCACATGGGACTGGGAGAAACCCAGTGTAGCCCAGGGGAGGAGCCCCAGCAGGTGTTTCCCTCCCGCTGTTCCCCACTCCACACCTCTCACCTGGATCGTCCCAGATGGAAAATCCATCCCTGCTCCCAAAATCCCCCCGCTGAGCCCAGTGCTGCCCACAGTTCGAACTCAGCGCAAGTTCAATGCAAGGAATTTTTCCCCTGAGGGCTCATTTTGTTCCCCAAATCCCACCGTGGCCGTGCCGAGCCGTTCTCCTCCTCTCTGTCCGGGGGGATCTGGCTCGGTGGCGAGGTCTCAGCCTGGCAGGTCCTCTCCCCCCGCGGGCCGGGGATGGGCAGCGCCGGCAGGCTCGGCACTTATCTGTGCGGGGTGGGGATGTTGCTCCCGACAGGGGTGTGACGGGGCAGTTTCTCAACAGTGTTTTGTCAGGCTCCTTCCCTTCTCCCCGGTTTTGGTTTTGTTTCCTTTTTTTTTTTTTTTTTTTTTTTTTTTTCCCCCTGTAAAGGAAACTTTGAACTTCTGGTTCAACTGAAGCCAAAATGAATCCAGAGGGAGATAAATCCCCCAGGCTGGTGATTTCTGTGCTCCTGAGGGAGATAAAGGTGCTCCCAGGGAGTGGGAAACCTTTTGAGCTGTTCAGGGGTTTATTTTACAGGGCAACTGAGGTGCAGAACAGACGAGTGCTCAGTGATGGGCTCAGCACCCTCTGGGAGCTGCTTCCCTCCCGTCCATCCTTTTTCCATTAACCATGGACAATCCCATTCCCTCTTTTACAGCTTTCTCCCTGATCATGCTCCGAAATGCCATCCAGCACGTGCCATGAAGGAGACCAAAAGGAAAGGAAACAAATCCTTGCTGAGGCTGTGGGATGACAGCCTGGAGGAGCCTGATGCCGTGAGCACAAACGTTACCTGAGCGTTTATCCCGGGAAAAGGGAAGGGCCAGAGCAGCTGGAGTGGGTGGCTGGGCTGGCAGCAAGGCTGCACCCCCTTCTCAGAGAGATTTGGGGGTACCAGACTTCTCCGAGGGTCCCTGGAGCTGCTGGCACAGTGCCGAGGGGGGGTTGTCACCTCTCCCAGTGCTCCCAGCTGTGTCCTGTCGCCAGCCCCGTCCCCCAAACCGGTCCTGCAGCCCCGGGGCTCGGCCGCCGCCCGCGGGTGTTGCTGGTTTCTATTTTGGAAGGATTTACTGTAAAAATAGCTCCTGTTGCAGTGGTAAAATTACAGAAACTTGTTTGCTATGAGGATGCTGGTGGGACACGGCCCCTGCCCCGGGCTGGCTGGGCAGGGGTGGCTGGAGCAGGAGGGCAGGGACACACTGGAGCTCCTTTGCAGGTCACCAAGTCCACTGTGTCCCCACAGAGCTTAAAACTGACCCTGAAGCACCCTCAGGAGCTGACACAGGAGGGTCCACCTCGAACTTGAACGTGCCAAGAACATCTGCCCAAGTCCCTTCCTTGGGACCTCAGCAGGTCAGTTGTGGGCTCTGACTGCAGGATGAGTGAGGAGCATCGACAGAGTCCCAGAAGGGTTTGTGTTGGAAGGCACCTTAAGCCCATTCAGTCCCATCCCCTCCTATGGGCAGGGACACCTTCCACTGGCCCAGGTTGCTCCAAGCCCCGTCCAACCTGGCCTTGGACACTCCCAGGGATCCAGGGGCAGCCACAGCTTCTCTGGGCAACCTGTGCCAGGGCCTCCCCACCCTCCTAGGGAAGAATTCCTTCCCAATATCCCATCTAACCCTGCCCTCTGGCAGTGGGAAGCCATTCCCCCTCACTTTGTCCCTCCATCCCTTGTCCCAAGTCCCTCTCCAGCTCTCCTGGAGCCCCTTCAGGCACTGAAAGGGGTTCTCAGGTCTCCCTGGAGCCTTCTCTTCTCCAGGTGAAAACCTCCAGCTCTCCCAGCCTGTCTCCAGAGCAGAGGGGCTCCAGCCCTGGGAGCATCCAATCATCAGGAGTGACAGCAGCTTTCCCTGTGCACCCCCTAAACCCTGCCAGCCCCAGGGCTGCTCCCCACCTCCTTGCCAGGGAAAGACACAATGTTCCCAAAATAGGAGCTTTTCTCGTCTGCCTGGGACAATCCCAGCTGGCAGGGACGGGCAGGGGACAGGATGTGGCACCGATATCTGCCCCAGCTGCCTCCACCATCCTCGGTCACCTCTGTTCCTAAACCCGGGAGGGCTGTGGGGTCGCTCATCCCGGTGGTTTTGGCCGGGAATTCCAGCAGGGGGAGGATGGACCCCGCGGTGCGGTGCTCACACAGCAGGCTGGCCGGGCTGGAGCCCCGGGGCCGGTCCCGTCGGGCCGGTCCGGGCTCATTCCTGGAAGCCCCCGGAGCCGCGTTGGATTGAGAGACAGGGGCCGAAGGGCAGAGACACGTTTAATACAGTGAGAGGCAACAACACGGGTACTGCCAAGTGCACAGAACATCACAACACACACCCCAGCACCGGGGGATTCGCAGCCAACGCCCCGTGGCAGTGCCGGCAGAGAGGAGGGAGCAGGACGGGATGCCGGGAAGGGCACCTGGAAAACACTCTCTGCAGGGTAAGGAAAACACCTACTTATCTCTGGTCTCTGTGGTGTTGGGTATAAGTGCAGCACACGAAGGCTGATGGGTGCTGGGGAGGGGGCTCCTCCACACAGCCCCCAGCAGGGATGGTCCATCAGCGTCCCCACATCCCACCCCAGTGATCCACCCCTTCCCGGATGTTCCCAGTGGGAAGGGCAGGCTGTGTCCCACCTGTGACATGTAAATCTCACCTGGCACTTTTCAGCACCTCCCGTGCACGTCACCCCCCTTCATTCTTTGGCAAACAGGTTCATGAGGGTAATTTACAGCTCTGGGACCTGCCCGCGGCTGCCTCTCCCTTCCCGGCCACTCCTGGGACATGGGATGGGCAGGGAGGGGGCTTGGGAGGAAGGAGATGGGTCTCCTGCTCCTCCAACCCACCCTGAGCCCAGGGCTGGCACCTCAGAGCCATCCCCACCAAGACACAAAAGCACAGTGAACTTGCACCCAGGGACACAAGGGGTGGGTGATGCAATTCCCCCCGGGATTTCAGTGACCTGCAGGGTATGTTCACCCACAGGGAGAGAGCTGTGACATTTTATTCTCCCTCAAAGTGGGAATGTCAGTTGTGTGAAACCCCTGCCAGGTGCATTTTCCATGGGATGGGGCTGGTGGGGTGACAACAACTCTGGGCACACGCTGATGTGCCGACGCCCCTGGGATGGGCATGTGTGTGCAGTGGGCTCCAGCCCCTCTCTCCCTCCCCAGCTGTCCTGTTCTCCTCATTTCCAAATGTCCTCCAAGGGCTGGAGAGGATGAGCAGGGTGGGAAAGGGAAAGCAAAGCAGGATGACCAGCAAAGCAAGGGCACTTCCAGAGAAACTCTTCTTGGAATCTTGCAAAGCTGAGCGCCAGCGGAGCTGAGCCACCACATCAGTCTTTCTTTCAGCTTCATCCATTTCCTACTGCTCCAGAGCCTTCCCAAACTGTCCACCCAAAGGACCTTCCTCTGGCACCCTCTGGAAACCTGCCAGCCAGGAGCCACACCATGGGACCAGGAGCCACACCATGGGATCAAGCCAGGACTTGTCCAGGTGAGCAGCAAGGGGCTCGTGTCCTCTGACCTGTCTCAGCAGGGGTTACACCCACACCCAGGATAAAAGCAGGAAAGGCAATACCAGTAGAAGGAATAATAAAATCCATTAAAAAAGCTTTGGGCTGCTGGCTCTCTGACCACAGAAATACTAAAAATACCTCATTTCTGAGACCACCCGTATTTTACAACCCCTAAAAGACTAGATTCTTCCCCTAGAAAATTGAAAAAGGTTTAAAATCCGTTTGTATCAACCCTCTCACCTTCACCAAGCCTTTAAAAACCCCATGGGAGGGCTGAGGGAGGAGGGGAGTGCGGGGCAGGGATGGGCAGCACTTTGGTGCCAGGCAGGGACCTCTCCTGTGCCCATCCCAGCACATCTCTGTGGGCCAAACACCTGGAGCACCCCAAAACTGGGGGGCTGTTGGTGCCCCCAGCCCCTGCTGCAGCCCCCCCAATGTCCCACCTCCCACACGTGTGCCAGTGAGTGCAGCAGCTGGAGTGAAGGGAATGGGAACGGGGGACACGGACACCGAAGCTGCTCGTGGCACGTCCTCCCCTCCCTGTGCTGGGCTGCACTTCAGCATCCAAGCACGGAGGGTTTGTGGGAATGTCATGGCAAAGGCAGTGTCTGTGCTGCCCTGGCTGGGCCCGAGCCCCAGGACAGGGATGGGAAGCCTTGGGGTCACTCTAAGCTGGTGTGTGACACTGACTCTGCTGCTGAGGCCTGGAAGTGGGGAAGGGGCATCCCGTGGCCAGCTGGATGATGGACTTTAAAAAGCAAACCCACCCTAACCGCTGATCAATGTGCCTAATCCAGCCCCGTGAGCGAGGGAAGCCTTGGCATACAGGAGGTGCAGGCGTGGAGTCAGCGCTGGGCTCCGAGGGGACCCACTGGGACAAAGATGGAGCTGGAAACGCAGGGACGTGGCTCGTGCTCACTCCAGAGCCCACTCTGCCAACCACTGCTGGCACCGCGCCCGCTGCTCCTCCGGCTCCGCGCTCCCGGCTTCGCTCCGGGGCTGCTCCTCCTCCACACCACCACCCACGGCCTCCTGGCCCTGCTGCTCCTGCTCCTCCTGCGTCACCTTGTCCTTGAGCTCCTGGATGGTGTCCTCCAGCCGGCGGGTGACGCGCTGGGGCTCCCAGTTGCCGTCCATGGCGGGGACGAAGGGGTCGGGCGCGCACACCTCGATGAGCTCCCCGCGCGCGGGGATGCGCAGGTAGTAGGCGTGGAGCATCATCCTGTAGGGGCTGCTGTCCTGGCCCAGGCTGTACGTGAAGTCCCCCACGATGGGGTGACCGACAGCACTGCAGTGAACCCGCAGCTGGTGAGTCCGCCCTGGGGAGAGCAGGAGTGGAGGGATCACGGACAGGTTATCCCTGAATCCCTCCTTCAGCGCGCGAGGTGACAACGCACCAGGTAAGGTTTGTCCCCCCTGAGCCCGGCAGTTCTCGGCTTCTCTCATCCCCTTTCCGGGCTCTGCTTCCACGTCAGAGCCCCCCGGAGCTGCTGCCCTGACCCCAACCCCCACCTGTCAGGGGCTGCAGCAGCACTTTGGTCACGGGGTCTCCACTGTAGGATCCGTGCTCCAGCACGATCAGCTCCGACTGGCAAGGCTTGGGATTTTCACAGCCTGCAACGAGATCCAAAGGGGGTTTGTCATCCCCCGGCGAGGCTCAAGGGGTCTGGGCAGTGCAGGGAAGGGGGGCTCACCCTCTGTCCCGTCGATGCACATCATGTGGGTCCTGCCCTCCGTGGTGTTCTTCCCGATGGCATAGCGGATCGTCATCCGGCTCTGGCTGACGTGGCCCCTCACCTGGGGGCAGAAAGGGGGTTTGAAACTGAGCCCTGGCACGTGCTCCTCACCAACCCCTCAGTGCCAGGAATCGTGGAATCACAGAATGGGAAAGGTTGGGAGAGTCCACAGTGGGGACTCCCAGTCCAACCTCCCTGCTCCAGCAGGGTTTTCCTAGAGCACGTGGCACAGAATTGTGTCCAGATGGATGCAAGAAGCAGATCAAGCTGCAATTCATAGAATCACAGAGTCCTGTAATGGTTTGGGTTGGAAGGGACCTTAAAGCCCACCCAGTTCCAGTTCCAACCCATTGGCAGGAACATCTTCCACTAGACCAGGTTGCTCCAAGCCCCATCCAACCTGGCCTTGGACAATTCCAGGGGCAGCTGCAACCTGTGCCAGAACCTCACCACCCTCACGGGGGAAATTCCTTCCCAATATCCCATCTAACCCCATCCTCTGTCAGTGGGAAGCCGTTCCCCCTTGTTCTGTTCCTCCATCCCTTGTCCCAAGTCCCTCTCCAGCTCTCCTGGAGTCCCTTTTAGGCACTGGAAGGGGCTCTCAGGTCTCCTTGGAGCACTCCCTTCTCCAGGCTGAACCCCAGCTCCCTCAGCCTCCCAGCAGAGGTGCTCAGCCTGCCCAGAAGGGCAGCCCCGAGCAGGCCCTGGCAGGGTGGGCTCACCAGGGCGAGGTAGGCTTTGGTCACCAGCCGCTCCTTGAAACACTTGTAGGCACTTCCCGCCGCCGCCTTGTTGAGAGCGACACACAGGGCCCCGCTGGTGGAGAAATCCAGCTGGTGGCAGAACCTGGGGAGGAGACAGGGGTGCAGGAACATCCTGGGGGACTTGGGGGTGCCCCCAGCCGAGGGCACAGCCCGGGTGGGTGCCTGGCCACTCACCTGAAGCCATAGTAGGTGTCGGGGTCGGCGAGCTCGGGGAAGCGGTGCCGGAGCTGGCTCTGCAGGGTCAGTGTCTCGTACCACATCTTGCTGTCGATGCGGATGTCCCAGTGCTTGTTGACCACGATGAAGTCGGAGCTCTGGTACAGGATGGACAGGTTGTCGATGGTGCCTGGCTCCATGGCCAGCGCCCTGCGGGAGTGACATGGGAATTGGGGTGAGAGGGGTGGGGGGAGCCTCCAGCTGCAAGGTGGGTGTCACAGGGGTGGGACAGCACCCTGGGCAGTGACGGGACCCAGGCAGGGCGGGCTGGGAATAGAGCAGGGAGTGGGGCACCTCATAGGACTGGAGAGGTACTGGTGCTGTGTGGTACCAGAGTCACCCTGCACAGGACCAGAGCAACACCAATGTCACTCTGCTCGGCCCAGTGACACCAGTGTCACCCAGCATGAGTCTTTCAGCCTCACCAGTGTCACGCTGTGTGACTCCCAGAGCAACACCGCTGTCACCCTGCTCGGCCCAGAGGGACACCAGTGTCACCCTGTGTGTCCTGGTGTCACACTGATGTCACCCTGCATGTCTCGCAGCCTCACCAGTGTCACACCGGTGTCACCCTCCATGTGTCCCGCAGCCCCCCCGGTGTCACCCCGTGCTGGCGCGGTCCCGCAGCGGTCCCGGTGACACAGCCCCCGCCGTGGCGATCCCGCAGCCGCGCCGCTGTCACACCGCACAGCTCTGCCGCCGTCCCCGCGTCCCG